GGAGCTCTGTTAACACTGATCCAGTGATTCAACAAAATAAATGACTAGAGCTGAATTAAAAATATATCAGAAATATTTTACACATCTTTTTGCTTTTCTTCCTCAGTTCGGTAAAGGGATCTACTTTGCGGACATGTCGTCAAAGAGCGCCAACTACTGTTACCCCAGTCAGAATAACAACGTTGGACTGTTGCTGCTGTGCGAGGTGAGTGTCTAACCACAGTTCTAACCACTGCTCCACAGCGCGGTCTGTAAACACACTCGTTTCCAGCAATATTTAGCATAACCTGAGGTTCAGGGTCTCCGCTCTGGTCGCAGGTTGCACTAGGAAACAGCAACGAGCTGCGAGACGCAGACTACAAGGCCGGCGAGCTGCCCACGGGCACACACAGCACCAAGGGTCTGGGAAGGACCAGGCCTGACCCCAAGAACTCAGTTACGCTGTAGGTTTGAGTCCGTTTGTCTTCAACCATCTTCCGTCCCCACAGCACGGCTGACTGTACCTGTCTTCTCCTCAGGGACGGGGTCACGGTGCCCATGGGCCCGGGGGTGACCACCGGGGCGACTCAGAGCCACAGTTACTCCCTCCTCTACAATGAGTTTGTGGTTTACGACCCGGCTCAGACCCGCATGAGGTACCTGCTGAGGATCCAGTTCAACTTCTCTCGTACACTGTGGTGAAGTCCAGACAGAGCTGAGGTTCAACAGGAGAGAATTCTCCAGAACACAAACGACGACGGTGTTGGCTCTGACGTTGAACCGAAAATCTGTTCATCATCTGATCTTCATGTAAAAGTACAAAACTGTCATTTTTCCACTTTTCCTTCTGATTCCACATGAAATGAAACAACCTGTGACGTTGGTCTGTTTTAATAAGGTGGAAAAAAAGATGTGGAACTCTTTTATCAACTACTGTCGTTTCCTTTGCTTTTTTTTACATCTGTCTGTTTTAATTGTTTTTTTTTTCATAAATAAACAAGACAAAAAATGTCAGTTGATTTTTATTTGTGTAAAGACAAAAACATTTGTTGATGAAATGACTCACGAAACAGGAAACATGTACAGTATTCACATTATTGATCGGGTTTTTCATTACGACACACAGTGGAATGTGTGTGGATATGTGTGTGTGTGTGGTGTACATTTTGTGTTTGTACAGTTTCACCTCCAGCCCAGCAGGTAGAGGAAGATGAGGATGATGTCCAGGTAGAGGGTGAGGGCAGCGGTGACGTACTCCTCAGGATCCAGACGGAAACTGAACAGCCCCACCATCAGTTGACAGTCCAACATCAAAAACTGGTGCAGAAGAAGAAAAGACAGCGTGAGTCAACAGGACACGGGTTCAAAATCCAACTTCATGTTAGTTTCAACTCTGATTCCTACAGAACTGAAATCCGTTCATGTAACGATGGACATAAAAGTTCTATTTTAGTGCAACTCTGTAAGTTTCCCGTACCAGTGAATAGAGCAGGGCTCCCAGACAGCCGTAGGCCACATCAGTGATGTAGGAGTAGTAGAAGGTGCAGATGAATCCAAACATGATCAGGTCCATGGCCAGAATCAGCAGGGCGCCAGAAAATATGGTGAAATCAAAACGGGTCTGAGGTAAAAACAGAGAAAAGTATTTGTGTTGAAAAATGAAAAACTGCAGTTTCTGGTTTTCATATTTAAGTTTGGTAGATTCTGTTGTCAACCTGCATTGAGAAGGCAATGATGGCCAGAGAAATGATCAGTGTTCCTGCCATGGTGATGAGCACAGCAGTGGTGTTGTGGTAGGAGGCGATGGTTCCCACCATGTACGACAAACTCAGTGTGATCACCACCTGTGTGCACAAAATTAACACAAAATTAAAACAAAGAACTTCTCACTGAATTATAGTGAAATTATGGGATTAAAAAAAATCTCATTCTAGTGAGTTGGCTTCATTAAAAACACCAAATGAAGGGGAAGTATTGAAATTAAAATCTTTATGCATCAGCATACAACTCCTACAGTACCTATGCATCACCGCCTAGAGGGCGCCAGATCCACACTTTTGAGAACAACCCGATAAAAGCTTAAAGTTAATTTAAGGCAATTCCCCAAAATGTAGCCAAGACAAAGGACGGGCGGTGAAATAAATTTGGGAAGCAACAAAAAAAACTATTTTTACTACTTTCCCCGAGATTAACTGTGTAAAAAAACTGTAAAAAGACAAATTTCACTGGACAAAAATTCTCTCTAAACAAAAATCAATGTACTCCACTGACATCACTACAAACTTAAACGGCTGATTGGCCACCTCACCAGTCCAACCAGGTTCCAGGGGTGACGTCGACGGAAAGACTTGCAGAAGCTGAGGGCGATGGCCACCACTGCGAAGATGATGAAGGAGCTGATGTAGGCCCACAGGTTGTTGATAACCGCCTCTTTGACCACAGTGGAGAAGGTGAAGACACAGACCACACTGAAGGTGAAGAGCAGCTGCAGCGTCAGGATGCTGAAGACCTGAAGAATAACAATAATAATAATAATAATAAGGATTAAACTGTTAAACCGCTGGGGAATTCTGGTGCATGCACGTAAAGCTGTGAACCACTAGGCGTCAGTGTTTACATCAAAACTGGCTGTAAGGAATATAGATGAATGTCCCAAAAATGTTATCCAATTTAGATACAATTTAAAGGATGAAAATTTAGACACAAGTTAAAAAAAAAAAAAGAAATATAAATTATTTTAAAAATTAAATAAAAATAAAAATGTTAGCCCCAAAAAAGTAAGACAAAGAATAGAATAAAAATAAGGTAATTTTAGATTACAAATGTGTAAACACATCTAGCAAAATTGCTACACAAGGTTCACTAAGTGTGCTAATTATAAGGCTAATTGTTGGTAAAGAAAAATTCTAAAAGCAGCAGCAAAGCTACTACTTTCCCAAACCTTTCTAACGAAGCCTCTCCTCACGGTGTCGTCGTCAAAGGAAGACGACGTCGTCAGAGGAGTGGTGTCGGACTGACACTCTGGACAGATGTCGCGGAAAGACTGGTAGCCAGTGACAGGCTGACAGATGGAGGCTGACTCTGATTTAGGTGGAGGGTACGTTGATGGAGCTGAGGAGTAGGCCGGGGGCTGCTGCTCCTGGTAGGAGTACGGAGGAGGAGGAGGAGGCATGTCAGACGCGGTGGGGTCCTGTGGCTCTTTGGACATGATGGAGTCCACACTGGGAGACTGTGGAGGAACTGGGGGGTCAGTGTGGTGGTGGGGATGGGGGCACAGGCCTGAGCAAGAGAAGAAGTTTTATTTGTTATTGTCCATAAAAGGAGAAAAAGAAACGTACGTTGTATGTTGACCATGAACCCCAGTTTGAGAACCACAGCATTATACTGCATCGTATTGTTTGAACGAAGTACCTTTCTATTAGTGTGGTAGTACTGCAGTACTGAGAGTCTTGTGTTAAACAAGGTATTTAATGTCATTAAGTTACTAACGTGTGTGGAGCTGCCATAGGTCAGAGGTCACACCAGTTTCAAGTTTCTACAGCGCTCCCACTCTTACGTCACCTTGGATTTTCAAACCTGACCACAGCCATTAGCCAATAGCCAGGAAGTAAAACCTGACGACTCCACTTCCTCTGTCGGCAGAAACACTTTCATACTCGACCGTTGTTTAACAGGTTGTAAATTTGAGGTTGAATTCATATTTTTACACTAAAATAATATTTTGTTTTTGTCATCATCTTTTGAAATGACAAACACCACACACACATCACTGGAGACAGAAAACAACGTTTTCCTTCAGGAATTTCATTATCATTATTTCATTATTGAATTTCATTTACTGCGATTATTTCATTATTGAATTTCATTTACTACATTTACTTCACGTCGACTTTAAATGCATTTATTTTTTATTTCATTTTCCTAAAACTCATTAAATCATTGTTTCCTTGAGAGAGTGACAAACTTTGACTAAAGTTTAACTCAGACTTAGTCCCAATTCAGTCAAAGGTCAATTGAGTTTTAGTCGACAAAAATTCTGACCTAAATTAGATTTATTCAACTGGAACAAAATGTGTTGTATTTTCATAATAATTTTCTAAATACTGTTTGTAAATTATTCTTATTATGACTATTTATGTTTTTTTTTACAACTTTTATCTAAAAGGAAACAATAATATACAGTATGACCTTTAAAAGAAAGTCTTTAAATTAAAAACCTGTCTCTAAGTGAAGAAGAAGAAACACCTGAAAACAGATGTGGTTCCTGGAGTTAGTTCCTCAGAGAGCAGAGAAGATCGAGGGTCTTACCTTTCCAGATGTTTCTATGTCGTGTGTCACAGACCGACTGTTGTGTTTGAACCCGTGTGTCCGACACAACAGACGCCCTGTGGCTCGATCGCTCACTTCCAGGTTCTACATGTTGATGAAAAGGAGGAATTGCCACCAGTGAGAACTTGTGATTTGGAAACTCCCCGGTGAGTTCAGGCTGGAGATCCTCAGGTCAGACCTACAGACTTCACAGCAACACTTTAGTCCACTCCACTGGTGATTTAACAAGAAGAAACTAAAAGATATATATTTTGAATCATTATTAAACATTTACTCTGCTGAAGAGTTTGTGGGAAACATTTCTGCTCTACGTCTGACAGAACAAACGAAAGAAAAACCAAAAACCAGCCGCAGACACACGTCACTGACACACAGCGTCACAGAACAGCTCTCACACATATTTATTGTAAAAAATACATATAAAAACCATTTCTGAGACATACAAAAGATCGGAGCTTAGAAACAGTATATTGAACAGACAAAGACCGAGCCGTTTTTCTTTGAATTGCATTACATATTTACAATTTTAATAAATAAAATTCAAATTTGTTTTTATATACCAGAGTAAAAGGCAGATTGTCCGTTATACCATGGAGGGGTGGGGGGGCCTTTTTTGTGTGGTAAAGATTACAACAAAAAAAGGAAACTAAGTTTCCTTTGACACCGATGTTGGGGTTGAGTTCCTGCCATTTAAAAACCGAGGATTCTGGGATATTTGTAGGAAGAGTTTACACACAGAGCAGGTGGTTTGGTAGCAGTGGAACAAACGGAGGTGTTGAACCACAGAGTTGGTTTTTTTTTTCTTTTTTTATAAATGGACCATTAATCACCCCCCCACTTTCCCGCCAAACACACTCACACCCCCGCCCTTTGCCTTCCAAAGTGTAAAACATAATTTATCACCACAACAAATGTAACACCTGTAACGGTAGATGCCCCTCGTCCTCGTCACTCTCTCTCTCCCCCCTCTCCTTCCCCAAAAACACACGCACACACACACACACCTTTCCCAATTCACAGACGTTTGGCATCATTTTTCTCCTAGTTTCCATAACAGGGCAAGAACAGAGAAACATGCAAGGGGCTGCTGCCCTCTGGCGGCGAGACTAGTCATAGCACCTCAGACTGCAGAACACAAAAAAGTAAAGAAAAAAAAATCAGAAACGACCAAAGGTTCAATTATTACATGGAACTCTATGTAAAGATGAGGTCTCACTTCTATATTTATAATGAAAGTCAAGTGTCTGGACACAGGCCTACGGCTGTCTGGACAATCACATGGACATCAAGAGGATTTGGCAAATTCAATTAGAACTGGACCGTCTGGGATGGTATTTCTTTACTTCTTAAATCCCTGGGTCGATGAGAGTCAGGATCAGCTGAGCTTCATTTTTAAAACGTTTGCTCCCACTTCCCAAACCTGGATGAGGAGGAAGATGGGACGATAATAGATGACGACAAAGTTCAAAGCAGCCTCATTTTTCCATAAACTTCCATTCATATCAAGTGACATCCAAAAAAACCAACAGCTCTGTTGGGTTTTGTCAGATTACCCATATACAACAAGACAGTTATACAAACTCAGTAAAAAAAAAACTATGCCCAAAAAAAAGAAAGAAAGAAAAAGTGTAAAGTGTGCACCGGGCGACCTCTGCCCTGATCAATACTGCCGTCAGAAAACCACTGTGACACGGCGCAGGCAGCAGTGGCAAGCAATGTAACAGCTTTTTTTTGTTCTTTCTCAGTCGCACCACACAACTGGTGTCAGACAGTGTGTGTCGAGCAGCTTCAACGTTGGACCCTTAAATTATTAAAAAGAAAAACACGCGCTACAAATCCCTGCTTCTCATTAGAACCTCATCACCAGGCACAGCCAATCACAACACACGACACGAGGCAAAAGAAAAGCCAAAACACATTGAGCAATAATCATGATTCTAAATGTGATGATATAATGTTTTTTAAACCCTATGAAATATAAAGTATCAGGGGAGAAGTTCTGTGATGACTGACCATCTGCCGTCCACAGCCTCCGCCCAGTCTCGGTGGGAACATGACCTAAGAATACCTTCCATATCATATCAGTTTGTCCTTCTAGTTCCTCCCGGCTCCAGCTTGATTGCAGCCAGATTTAAAAAAAAAAAATCTGAGTCTGGTCCAAAAAATCTGGACTGCACCCCAGAGAGTCTCCGAGGCAGAAGAGACCGGGCGGGATACTGGAACACATACTCTTTCAAACAGCATTCCGAAGTGGAACAGCGCCAATGTTTCGTACCGTTGCCACATGTAACATGACGTATACAGAGGGACTCGTGTTTAAAAAAAGAAAAAAAAAAAAAAAATTTAACCCGCTTGACCAGGCAGACTTCTGGGCAGTTTACAGTAAAAACACTCCCACGCTTTCTACAAGATATGAGCAGGACATTTCCTGTCCCTGGTCACCATCACACACAGAAATGATGTGGGAATAAGAAAAGAAAACTAGAGGAACAAAAGTGCTCGGATCGGTGCTACTCTGACCCTAGGAAACACCTACGACTTCCCCCAAAAAAAACACTCACCAACTAGCAGCACATTGAACACAGCGTGTAAGAAACACCTACGAGAAACTGACCTACGACTGAGGAAAATCATCAACCGTCCCACCAAGTTCCTGTCCATATAATGACCACGCCCCCTGAAATGTTTACAGGTGATAGAAAACAGATACCATTAAAAAACCCCACTCACCCTAAACCTCCAGCTGGTTAGAGAACAAAGCCGTAATGATGTGGTTAAAGGTTCATGCTTTCAGTGTGAGGTGGGTTCATTTGGGGTGAGCTGAGGGAAGAATGAGGAAAGAAAACATTCATCTGATGTAAGACACCCAACAATACACTTTTTTCTGCAAAATACTTGGAAAAAAACGATTTGATCCGGTTCCACAGGGAGGAAAATACACAGGAGGGTCCAGGAGTCCCGGTCCAGAAAAACTTATTTCACACGTTCCTCCACAAGTTCAACATCATTCTGGGGTGCATTCCATCATGGTTGTGTGACAATCTGGACTCAAAATTGATTTCCTTTTTTTTGTGTGGCAATTTTCATCTTTTGCAGACTGAAGTAAAGTCTGTGGAGCTGTAATGAAAAATAAACCAAACTCCTCCAGTTCCGTTCCAGCGAGGGTCTCCACCACAGATCAGAACAAGCAGCTGTTTCCTTTTTTCATCAGAGTTTGGCTTGAAATGTTTCAGACCCAGTTCAGAAAGGCTGGTCCAGATGAAGGAGAGCAGAGGCAGCAGAACTGCAGTCCAATCTTCTTTTGTCCATTTAAATAAAATGTTTTTGTTTCTTTACAGCGACGGGGGGGGGGGGGGGGGGGGCACAATGGACAGTGGGGTATTTATTCAACAACACATCATTATTGGGATTTTTATTAGAATTCAGTGTAGTCTCCTGCAAAAAGGAAGAAGGTCAGATTTGATCATTAGACAACACAGGAACAGATTGTGCCTATCGGCCACAAGAGGGAGACACAGCAGAACAAGTTAGAGTTAGCTGGTAAGGTAGCAACAGCTAATGCAGCTAAAACAGCTAATAGTACCAGCAAGGGACCAAAATATTTTAGCAAATACAAAACAAAAAACAAAACACAACTCCCTCTTGCTTTTGGTCATATTTTGTCTCCCCCTATTGGTCATTCACAGCATCTGATTCGTACATACCTGAGTCGGGTTGGTCACTGTGCAGAGAAGGTGCGAGCTGTGAGTCAATCAAAAGGATGTTCAGGGCAGCAAGGCTTCACCTTGGACCAGGAGTCGATGCAGCTGTGAGTAAAACACAGGTGTTAATTCATTTAATTTGTATTTTGTGACTGGAGACGTCTGATTGGGTGCAGGGAATTAAAACAAAACTGTAGAAAAAATAAGAAAAAAACTGTAGAAAAGTTTTAAAGTTTGACAGGGAGGTGCAGCAGTTGGCAGTAAGTGGTAAATGTGAGTCGAGGAGGTGCAGCAGAAATGTAGGAATCACTTCCAGCTTCACCGCCCTGGAAACACAGTGGAAACACCGGGAGAGGAGGTGCAGTACAGCATGTGTGGACTGATGAGGAAACCACAACATTCCTACACTTGGTGTGAGAAACGATTATTACTGCAAAAGCACTCCTATAGGAGCAGCAGAGCTGGTGTTTGGTGTTTCTTTGTTGAATACATGAAGTCCAAGCTTCAACTGTATCTGACATGTGGTGACACACAAGTCAAAGTTCACCAAAAACTGCTCTTCATAACGAAGTCAAACCCCGACATATGGTGTGTCCACTGGCTAACTCCAAATGAAAGAAAGTCATCTTTATGAATTAAAAAAAAATCTATATCCTCACAAGTGTAGTTACCATATTTGTAAGATTCTGTTGGGATCTTTTTTTTTTTTTTTAGAATCCTCTGATGACATCACATCACAGACGTATACCATATTTGGGTTTAGAGTTCATACCAGAGGCAGAAGTGGCCTGAGTACAGTTGCATTTCACAAAACAGACACAGAAGTTGTTTGCCACACATGCAACGCTTTGACTAATCACTAAAATAATCCAGTCCATGGATTCTCTTCAATTCCCGTCCCTACATCAGCTTGGTTTCTCTTTGTCAGTTGTTTTAATGAGTCATAATGAAGACTTTTTGAAGCTTCATCATGTGACGGTTTTGTCATGTATTCTGTCCTACAGTCAGACTCAGCAGACGTAATTAGAATGAAATGGTGCAGCTGATTGTTCAGGAACATTTCTACTGTGTAATCTGTTCAACTATCCGTCACGGTCCAGGACGCTGTCACAAGGACAGAAAAGTTGTGTTACAAGTGGAGTCACATCTTATCACAAACAAGAACAAAAGTTCTTGCTTCTGCTACGTCGCTGGGAACAAAACAAGTTTTGCTTTGATGTTTTCTGAAACCCTGGCAATAGTTTCTCACGTCCACAAAGACACAGCACCAGATCTGTAAAACATTTTCTTATCACGTCAATCTCTTCTGGCCCCATTTGCAGATTTCCTGTGATGTAAACCAAACGATCTGAGCTCCGTTACCTCTTGTGGTAGACGCAGAGACAGGCCAGCCTGGCGATGGTCTCGCCCTGCACCAGGTCCTCCAAACAGATGGAGCACTCTCCACTGTCTTTACTTAGCACATCCGCTGTAAACACACACACAAACACACACACTGTAAACCTAAATGGCTCTGAACTCTAAACCACACAGCTGACCTGCAAAAAGAAAAGCAGTTAATGTGTTTATAACATAACAACAAAACGATGTGCATATGTGCAGTTCAGACTGCATTTAATTTAATTAAAAAACTAATTTTCCTACAACGTGACTCTTTACAGGGTCATGTGAAGAGCTGGAACCAATCACAGCAGTCATCAGGCTGATACGCTCTGATACATTTTACTAGTTACTACTCTTTGATGATGGGTAGATTATTTCTCTGCACTTCTTAAAAAAAATTCCTGCGCAGTCACAAAGGCATTAGCAGTAGAAAAGCTGTGTATATTTTAACATCCACTAAATCTGAGGATATCAGAAAACCACAATTCTGTGTACAGTAGCCGGTGATGTGATACTTACTGTTGTACGGTAGCGGAGGAGACGTCAGGCAGCTCAACAGGTGATCCTCAATCCGACCTCCCGGGAAAGGCTTTGAACAGAAAGGACAGCGGATATCTGCAGGAGAGCAGAGACAGGTGGCGTCACAGCCAGGTATAAATGATGAATGCTGCGAACGTCACATTAAACATGAGCGCTGTGTTTAGACAACAGACTACACAGAGGCCATCTGAAACACAGGCAGTCGGTGCAGCGTGAATGTACTAACAAGTGTGAGTGATGCTTGTGACCCAGTATGGTTTGGAGCTGTCTTAGCTGAGATTCCAAACAGCACATGGATGACACAGACGGGGTGTCTGCCCTACATTCTGGTCCATCAATGAGCGGCTGCCAACAGTGCGCGCACATTTGGGAAGTTGTGACCCATTTCTCGGCACTTGCTGAGAGGGCTGTCCTGGGAAGCCCACCACACTGTTGTGTTTTGAAGAAAGAACTGAAGAAAAGGTCACGTCTTCCTCTGCGGATGTGGACTGAGTAGAAACTATTTCACTTCCTTTGTAAACTCATGTTACCTTTTTAGTGCACCTCAGCTCAGATGTGGTCGTCTGACATTTTCAAGCAACACTCTGCATAGCATCAACATAAAAAACACAGACAGCAGTCTGTGAGAATGGAGAGCTTGTATGTCATCATTTACAGTCATGTTCCACATCAATGCTTCCTACAATAGGAACCAGCACAAGAGATCAGCTGTTCAGGAATGCAAATTCCTGGAATAATCCATTTTAAATTTAGACTGTGTGAATTGGGAATGCCGTGACACAATTCCTGAACCAAAATTCTGAACTGGATTGGTGTGTTGTTACGTGTTTTTAAACCCAACACTTGGTTCCTGTTGGGTAAGGAAAAATAAAAATAATTTACTGACTTTTTGGTCCTGATATCTTATGACATTTGTATAAAGCTATTACTGACAAACTAAAGATCTATAAAGCTTTAAATAAAAAGATAACTGGCCAATATATTCGAAACTCATAATGTTGTTAAAAATCTACTTCCTCAGCCCCTTGGACTATTATTTACTTACAGAAAACAACGACTGTTAAAAAAAAAAAAACTAAAATTAACCTGTTCTTTTATTCGTTTCAGGAAATGCACGTCACTCCTACCAACGCAGTTTATATTTAGGTATATATATATGAGTGTGTATCTATATATTTACATATATAGATATATATGTGTGTGTATCTATCTATATATATTTATATATACACATTTGTGACTGAATTATGAGCTAGCAGTGGTTCTTAAGGCGAGTTCTCTGCTATAACATCAACCACATATGGTGGCCATTAAAGGGGAAAAAAATGTAATGTATGCGGCACAAATCATTTAATTGACATTTATAATAAATGCTCCTGGGCTTTGTTGTGTTGTCTTACTGCCATGGCGGTTGTTCACACGGTAAAGGCCAATCCAAGCCTCGGAAACCGGCCGCTGGTGTGTGCTTCGGACGCGGGCGGATCTGGCGCTAACGCTGCGGGAGGATGAATGTCGACTCCCGGGCAGGCGCTCAGAAAAGGTGCGGTGGGGAGTGCGGCCTGTCTCCTCTCCTGACTGGTGTTCGGCGTCAACGGCAGCCTCGCTGGGTGTCGTACTGCCGTCGTCCTCGTTGGGTTTACCCTCGCTGTTGTTGTCGTCCGCAGGTGACGCCTGACTAATACTGGATGGGATGCTGTGCTGGTCCGCGGGGCTGCCGTCGGCGCTCGCCCCGTGATGCCCTAAGTCGGAGTCGCTGCCTTCCTCCGATCTGCTTCGGTTGGCCTCCGTGTCCTCGAAGCTTCCGGAGAAGTCAACCATGAGGCTGGTGGGCCTGGTAAGGCGGGGTCGCCGGTAGGACTCCCGTTTGGTGCCATCTTTTCCGAAAGCAGAGGGAGCCGGGTCTTCCTGTAGGCGACTGGCTCTCGTCCCCATCTCTAGCAGGCTGGCTAATTCCGCTGGCTAGCCGAGCTTCTGCTGCTGCTTCCTCAAAACGAAGCAACACAAAGCGAAGGCGGCGAGTTAACCTCGAAATGTCTCTTCAACTCTCAATTATTCAGCTGAGGACATTAAAGACTAAAAACCGCCTAAACCCAAGATGTGGTGAAAAGACCAATTCTGTGTCTGGTGACTGTTTCTCCGGCCTTACTTTGTCCTAACTGTCCACATTTTCCTCTTTGACGTGCCCGTTGTCTCTTTGGCAGCGGAAATAAAACATTCTCGTTTCCTCCTTTGAACAGTGCTTACGGTAACGTCACTGGTTCCGATCTGTGGGGAGGAGATGAGTTAAATACTTCAATAAAATAAATGCAGTATTTACAAAATATTTAAATATCGCCCCAATTGACCCCGAAATAAAATAAAATAAAGAGACATTACATTAAGTAAAAATATCAACACTGTTAAAGAGCACAAAATTGTGTCGAGGTGCAATTTGATAAAAAAAAACAATCCTATATTTCTTCCGTATTCAAGGTAAAAGTAATACAATTGTTTTTAAATTCAACGCGATCAACATCTTTATAATAACTCTCATATATTATTATATTACCACTACATACATATTTAAATCTATTTGAATTATTGCATTAACAATTATAAAAGCAAACAATAGATAAAAATGCAACTGCAATTTCAAATTACATTTTATTATTTAATACTAGCCGTTTGATTTTAGTACCTATATTTACGTTATTACGGTAAAAAAGTACACAAAGAACTGACCAATCAGCGCTCTTCACCAGGCTGTGTGAGGAAGTGGACTCTGAATTGGAATCTGGCCTGATAAGAAGCAGCTAAAGCTGATGCGAATTAACTTATAACACTACATTAAAAGTAAATGTCTATGCGGAACTAACTTTAAATCAGTGGAGTTTACATTTAGGGGTTCATAGCGGTGAGTTACCTTTTTACATGCACTTGGGCAAAGCTGCCACACCTTTATTTCAAACGAATGACTCATTAAAATGTGTCTGGCAACTCATAAACATTTTAATAGTTAATGTCAAATGACGTCTAACGTCTGACATCAGCTGTATTAACGCTGTTGATGCTCTTGTAATAATGAAATCATGTTGTTTCCCGTCAGCTGAATAGATGACGTCATTGAAAAAAACAACACTCGGACAAGTTCAAATTTGCAGAATTAAAGCCCGTTGTGTAATTCTGCAATTCACTAAGAAGTCCCTACAGTTGAAAGTGAAAAAATTTAAAACTTAACCAATACGGGAGCCCAACTTAAAAATATAATTTAACTAAACAGTTTTTTCTGGTCAAATGGCGTTTAAATCTAAATAAAATATAAATATTAAACTAGAATTTACTTTAAATATGAAGCTTAAATTATTGACTAAATACATATATATATTTATTTATTTGAAGAATGTATAACAGTTTTGAGGACTCTCCCTGTGTCTAGTGAAGGTGTGTCCAGTCAGACTTTGCTCTCACATCAACCTTCACTCCCTTGACTACAGTTGTTCAGTGTTTGATCAAACAGTTGGTGGAATGCTGCTAAACTGCTAATGTCAGTGTTTCATGCTGTCCCAAGATTACGGAGCTGTGCATTTTAAGAAGAGATACTCAGATGTGTTGCAGCCTTTGACCTTTACTATTGATTGTGTGTGTGTGTCTCCAGAAATGAGGGCTCTGACTCTACAGCATGTAAATGTTGCCCAGGCGGAGCAACTGCAGCAATCGGCCACATGTGGAAGAAGTTTGACCTCCAACTACGCTCCTCCAAATCTGGAGAATAAATTCCTAGACCAGACCTCCACGACTTTACCCCAGGCTTCTCTACTCATGAAGTCTTCAGCCGGACCTTCCTTCTGTTCCTCTTTCCAGCCATCCAGCCTCTCCTCCACCACATCCTCTCTCCTTTCCACCTCTTCTATTGCCTCTCCTCTCCTCAGCACCCAGAACAAGCTTCTAACTACTGACTCACCTCATCTTTCCTTCTCTCTGACCTCCTCCGTCCTTGATGATGCTGCACGCTCCTCATCTCTGGCCAGCAGTGCTTTGTTCAATCCCTTTCTCCATCCCCCTTCATTTCTGCCTCACGGTCTGGGTGGAGAACCGAAGACAGACGATGGAAGAGACACAGAGGAAATATCTGAAGTGATGCCATGCAGCTTTGAAACAACAAGTGTGGTTGGTGAAATTGATTGAAAATGAACTATTTTAATGACCTTTGGTGATGCTGATGTTGTAATTTGACATCTTCTGCACTGGCAGTGTTCTGAGGAAGCTCATGTTCCATCGGAAGACACAGAGGAGCAGAATGAGTTGCATTCATCCACAGCCATGGAACTACCTGTCAGTGAAACAGAGCCGATCAGCACCGACCTGAATCAATTCGTGCCGTTCAAACAGGAAGAATTTCCTGAGTTTATTAAAGAAAACCAAAGCATGGACGAAGAACTTGAAAACAAAAAGGTACAATAAACATTTTGCCAGTTTGGTGCGCAGCTCATTTCATAAAAGGTTTTATTGTTTTGCAAACCAGGTCTTGTTTTCTTTGTCTTTCTGTGTTGCTCAGTATTTCTTGCTGAACGAAGTGTGCTGCTCTCTGGTCAACAAGACTGCAGCTCCAGGACAAAACAACTGGGACGCTGCGGACAGTGTTTGGACTAAAATCAAAAACTTAGCGAAGGACATTTCTGTCCATGAACCAGAGTTTCTTCTCAAGGTTTGTTTACCTTGAATGACCATTTACTGTAGACAGATCACTGGTACCATCACAAACAGTATGTGTATATGTATGTCTGTTGATACTGACTGAGGAACCTCCCAGAATGGTAACTTTTGTTCCTATTTTATGTGTTCATTTATTGTAGATTATCAAACCCTGTCTATTAGCAAGGGACTGAGTTTTCACAAAAATACAGTATCTGTTATATTTGAAACTGAACAGACTGATAAATTATATATGTACATATTTTCTTTACCTCTAGGTTGCTGTTTACGCTCGGCAGGAGCTGAATATCCGAATCACGGCTAACTTCTTGTTAGCTCTGGCTGCCAGTCAAGTCCCCACCAAGCCTCACGTCCGCAGATACTTCTGTGCTGCTGTGCAGTTGCCCTCTGATTGGCTGGAGGTGGTCAGAATCTACAACATGGTAAGTCCCAGTCAGCGTCTGTTGTATGTTATCATGTCAGTGATCAGTGGTTCAGTCTATGACTGTACGCCTGCAGTGTTTCAGCCGCTCGCTGCCGATGTGCCTGAAGAAGGCGATGGCCGACAAATTCAAGGAGTTCAGCGAGTATCAGCTGGCCAAGTACAACACCCGCAAACACCGCTGCAAACACAAGTCAAAGAAATGCAAGAAAAAGGTACAGAAGACTTTACATAGTTATAGTAACAACGATCATTGCAACAGTAAAAAAACTGTAACATCAAAACCTTGCTTGGTCTCAGCTGATCCAGTGTCAACTACAATTTATTATTTTAAATCTTGACTCTAAGGCCAAAAACCACAACTTGTTTGGGGGATGTGTGAACTTTTCAGAGCCCTGACTGAAAGTAGAACAAAAAGGTTTTTTGTGGTTTCCACGTCGGTTGAGCTGAGTCAATTCTCTAAATCGACACCAGTGAATTCACACTTCAAACATCCTCTTTCCGTCACTCACTGTGGGTTTTTTTTTTGTCTTTGGTGTTGATTCACAGAAACCAACTACTGGGGATCTAACGAAGTGGGCCACCATGTTGGGATCAGAGGAGTCACTGCTGCAGAAGTTTGTGAGTCCGAGTTTTCTTTTATGTCATAAATAAAAACAAAATGTGTCACAAATTAGATTGCATGTTTTGCTGAGGTCTCAGATGTTATTGTTGCGGCTGTGTTTAATATGTCTTATACTTATACGGGTGCATGTTTCTGCAGCTGCAGATGGAGCAAAAAGTGCAAGTGGTGGATAAAAAGCAGAGTGAGTTCAGTTTGAAGAAGATGATCAAGAGACTTCACATCAAAGAACCAGCCGAACACGTTATGGCCATTCTGGGAAGGAAGTGAGTGACACCAACAGGCACACACGTAAATATTTCAGGCATCTTTGTGTCCTATGGGCCTAGAGATGTGACCTGAATCTTATACAAAAGGAGTAAATAATTCATGATCATATGGTGGGTCGATGGCATCCCACTGTTGAATCAACATGACATCACGATGACCTATTTCTGACCCCCCCTCTAAGGAGGAAACAATTTTCAATTTATTGTTTATTATTGTGTTTTTTTCTAAATCAGTGTCTCATTCTCCTTCTTCCCAGATATCCTGCTGATGTGAAGGCATTTACCCACAGTGGAATGAAGGGTGAGTGGGACAGGGAGCAAGCCGGACAGAGAATGAAGCTCAAACAGCCAGAGACATGGGAGCGTTTGGTCAGTCGGGAGGGAAACAAGGCGGCTACCTGGGAGAAACTCATCGGTGCGTAAAGAGCGTTTTCAAGCATATATAATTTTACATGATTTTTTAAAATTCTTCAACATTTTTGTGACATTTCTTCCAAGCTATCTAGTAAAATAGTTTCAGTTATAACAACTGTAAATATATTATATAATATTGTGTATAATAATTAATAATAATTAATATAAGAAATACCTTTTTGCTTGCCAAACAAACACCAGCCTGTGTTTGATGATACTGTCCATCTGTAACACACTGTGTGTTCACCATACAGACAACAATTCTCTCCCATTCATGGCCATGTTGAGGAACCTGAGGAACATGATCAGTCAGGGCATCAGTGAAGCTCATCACAAGAAGATCCTCAGCAGACTGACCAATAAGGTGAGACACACTGCACTGAAATACTGCACTGTCTGTCCTTCATTTAAACATGAATAAAAATAGAGTGACTGCTCGAAGGACAGTTGGAACAGGTACAAAATGTTACGCATATATCACATAAGATCAAAAGTTCCTGATGCTGCAAAATATTTCCTGGACCAAATAATGCACCAGAATAAGGGAACAGAGAAGATTTTAGCCCCGAGTCCAAGTAGACAAACAGTTTCACAGGGACACGAAGCAGCTGAAAACATGGCCTTGAATCATCGCTATGATTTAGGGAAAAGATTGCACCTACATACTGCAAATTAAGAATGTGTGTGGGTGCAATCCCAGCTAAATTTTGTGCAGTTCATCAGTAATCACATCACTAACAACTAAATATTATTGTCAGGACATAATTTGCAGCAGTTGAACTACCATCCTACCTGAGTGTTTGTTCCATGTCCATCAACAGAAAGCAGTCATTCAGAGCCGACAGTTTCCCTTTAGGTTCCTCGCTGCCTATAAGGTCATCATGGAGCTCCAGGATTTGGGTGAGATTCCACATCTACAAGAAGTGACTGAATGTTTCATTTTCTTTGGGACATATAAAAAAATAAAATTATATAGAACACAGTTTTAACAGTTTTTTTCTGTCCTCTTTCTCCCTCTTCCTGTAGCTTCTCAGTCACAGGAAAAGGTTCCCACTGTTAAAGAAATTCTGACAGAAATCCTGAAGAAAATTCCCAGCTCTAAACGTAAAAAAACTATGGACTGGGAAAATATGCACAGGAGGAGGCTAAAGTTTACACTGGGGGTGCCGTTTATTTATCAGCGATACAAAACAAAGAAAGCTCAGCTCATCAAGGCCAAGTATGACGACACTATCACCGATTTTTGATCATGTTTCGATCTGTAAATAAAGTCATCACCTGTGATACATTTATGTCCTGTGAATGCAGTCAGAGAAACTTCACTCTTGCTCTGTTGCAACGCTACCGAAAAGCTCTGGAGACGGCGGTTCAGATTTCCTGCCGGTACAACGTCCCTCCACTTCCTGGACGAACCTTCATCATGCTCTGCACCGATTCATTACAATATTGTAAGTTTGAACAGAAGACAGACTTCTGCCTCCCACCAGACCCTGATGAAAAAGATGAGGATGGAGAAGGAGAGGAGGAGGAGAACGAGAACCCAAGGGCATCGAGAAAGAAGAAAAAGAAGAACGATGAAGACGACAAGCTCACTCCGTCTGTAAGAAGTTTTCATTCATTCAAGGCAGTGGAGTAGAAAAAGAGCCTGAACTCTGAACTGTCTTTGCTCACTTTGTCAGATGATGGAGGTGGCAGTTTTGCTGTCTCTGATGATACGGAGCAGCGCTGAAGACACCCAGCTCTGCTTAATCAATGGTATGACGGGGGACGACGTCGACCTGAAGTCGGACGTCCTCTTGGACAATGTCAGAAGTGTTGTTAAGCAGGCAAAGGTCAGGAATCATCTCCTCCATCCTGTCCCCTCATCTCTGTCATACAAAATAACATTTTTCATATGTTTAAAAAACTGTTTTTAATTGTCAATGGAGTTTCCTTCAGTTTTTCCCAGGTATTTATTTTGTAACTACAGCCTGACTCCAGATGACTCTGCCCATTTCTTATATAACGCCACATTCATATTATTTCAATGTTTCCTTATTTTCCTCTTTTTTAGATATTCTATGAGATGCCATATATTCAACAAGACAAAGACAAAGTCTCTGAAATATTGTCACAGAACAGTAAGGTGAGGTTCTCTGTTTATTAACTTTAGTTCTTCAAGTCTCACGCTCTAAGACTGCAGCAGCTGCAATGCATGTTTTTCCTCGGGGAGTGAAAGCACGTGACATTGATCTATTGATCACAGAAACGATGTTTTTTTTTCTGAACTTCTGAATTCTTGGCTTTAGTTTGACAACATTGTGATCCTGGGTGACATCCACTACTCCACACATTTCCTCATCAACAACTACAGGAAGGAAGTAAACAACAAAGCTCTGGTGGTGAACATCATACTGTCTGGGTAAAGACTTATTTGGAATTTTATTTATTTTGGTTTTTAGATTTCATTTAGGTTCATTGATACATATCTAAAGCATTTACTTTTGTGTTGACCAGTCGTGCATATGGACCCTACGGCGAGGGCTGCAATGATGTGATACTGACAGGCTTTAGCGACCAAATTCTAAGGTAGGATATGGCAATAAACATCCTCCTCTTCTTTTACACCAACTATCTCTATGTCCTCTTTCACAACATCCACAAATATCCTCTGATCTCTCTCTTCTCCTCCTGCCTGGCAGCTCCATCTGCACCATCCTCTGTACATCTCCACCTTCTCTTCCCAGCTCACGTCCTAACCATCTCCACTTCACCTTTTCTACATTTATCTACAAACTGCTCTAACTTGCAGTACCTCACAGTATATGTACAGTATATGTATGTATGTGTAATATTAAGTTTGTGATATTTTTAATCAGGTTTATTGCAGAACGAGGATCTTCCAGGCTGATGGCTCACGTGGAGAATTTGGACAGAATGTACAAGATTCCTTCCCCTGAAGGAGCAAAAAATCTTCAGTCCACAAACAGTGTGGTACCAATACCAGCAAGCCCAGAGCTGAGGTCAGTGTGTTGTTTTTTAAATTAAAAAAAAGTATTTTCCTGATCTGATTTTACCTTCCTTATTTCTCACCTCAGGTGGAAAGGTGTTCGCGTCTTCATCTCCTCCACCTTCAGAGACATGCACGCAGAGCGGGACATCTTGGTGCAGAGTGTCTTTCCCGAGCTCCGACGTCGGGCTGCCTCCCACTGCCTCTACCTGCAGGAGGTGGAGCTGCGGTGGGGAGTGACAGAGGAGGAGTCTGGACGAGCCACGCAGCTGTGTCTGTCCGAGGTGTGTCGCTGCCACCTGATGGTGGTGATCCTGGGGGAGAGGTACGGCATGGTGTCGTCCAAACCTGAGCTCCCTGACCTGCCACAGTACAGATGGGTAAGAGTCAAGAGAGTTAGAATAACAATATTTCATTTATTTGTGTTGACGAGTAGCATTTTTGTTTTCCTTTTCTGTGCAGCTGGAGTCAGCTCCTCCAGGTCTGTCCATCACAGAGATGGAGATCCGTCAGTTTGAGGCTCTGTTCCCTGACACATTTCACCAGCGAATGTTCTGCTATTTCAGGGATCCAAACATCACACGGTACACTGCTGATGGCGAACGGCGAGTCCTACAATATTTTATTTGTCATTTAAAAAGTCTATAATGAGACTTCATCAACTGTTCAGGTCAGTTCCAGTGGCTTGGAAGTCAGACTTTGCCGCTGAATCACAAGGAGCTGAAGCCAAAATGGCTTCTTTGAAGAGTCGGATCAGAGACAGTGACGCCAAATTCATTGAAAGGTGAGTCAAACTGTTAGGTAATTTATTCTCAAACAATAAGACTCAATTACTGACTGTATTTCTGTACCAGTTACCCATGTGAGTGGGGAGGTGTCGTGGATGGCAAACCGTATCTGAAAAAGTTGGAAAACTTTGGGAAAGCTGTGCTGGAAGATCTGTGGAAGACACTTCTGAAGCAGTTTGTGGAAGTGAGTATATCACATGTATATGCTCTCCTGTAGTTTCATATAAAGGCCACAGAAGGCGCTACATGACAAATGATGTCCATGAAGTCCATCAGCAAAAAAAAAAAAATGATTTCATGATATTTTCTCTACCTTGACAGGAGGACAAAGATGCTGATGCTGCCTCAGATGTGACTGAGCAGGAGGTGCACCAGGAGGCGCTACAGAGGCAGTTCTTCGGCAGAGAGAAGCTCCTCACAGAAGCTACGGAGATGGTGGAGAAGATCCAGAGCAAAGGAGGACTGATGGTGGTGGAAGGAGGGCCTGGAGAAGGAAAAACCGTGTTCATGGTAAATTTAACAAGAGTTTGGTACAAAGTGATGGACATTGTGTTTGTTCTACATTTAAAGTCACGTTCATCTCTCTTTTCCCTCTCAGGCTGCTTTTGCAGACGCCCTCAGGTGTGGAACCACGTCTGGGAAAACACACCTCTGTGATGTCATCTTTTACTCCACAGCTGCCAGCCAATCAGCATGCTCTGTGGACAACCTTCTGCGCTGCCTCATCCAGTGGTTCTGTGGATTTCAGGGTTCAGAGAAGTTTTCTCTCCCTACTCTTCCCCACTGTTACAAGTAACTGAACATGATGATTTATTTTTAAATATCATTATTATGTACAGGTCAATCACAGTCCAGGCTGAAAAGTTTTTATTTCTTTGTCAGAGATTTACTCTCCGAATTCCACCTTTTATTGCACAACATGGAGCGAACCAAACCTCTGGTGCTGATGGTTGACGGTGTGGATGAAGTGCAGGATGGAGGAGGTCAAATTATCTCTGACTGGATCCCGCAGGAACTTCCAAAGGTCAGTTATATGGACGGTTTATTTATATATATATATAATTTTTTCTAACCCTTGTTCTGTGTCTCCCCTCAGGGCGTGTGTTTGGTCGTGAGCCTTACGTCTAAAGCAACTCTTTTACAAACACTGGCCAAAAAACCAAACACGCTCCTGTTCAGTCTGGGACAACTGACCATGCCGGACAGGAAGAAGATCGTTCAGAAAGGACTGGACTCTTTTGGGAAGAAGCTCAGTGACTCTGCTTTTAACAACCAGGTTTGTATAAAGATTTTATTTCATTTTCTCTCTTATTATTATTTTCTTAAAACTGTGGGTGTTTTTGGCAGCTCCAGACTCTGATCATGAAGAAAGGAGCAGTGAGTCCCCTGTACCTGCACCTGGCCTGTGAAGACCTAAGGAACTTTGGTTCCTTTGATAAGGTCTGCTCTGAATCATTTTGGGAGATTTTTATAGAATTGCAGAGCCCTCTGTGTATATTTGTTCATATTTATTCTGTTCAGTTGAAGGAGACCCTGCAGCTTTTACCTGACTCCCTGAGTCAGCTGATACAGCACAGCCTGGACAGAATGTGCTCGCAGCACAGAGGCATTCTGGGATTCCGCTGGGCCATGGCAGCGTTCACTGTCAGCTCCAGTGGTGAGATCAGTGTCTGACCTATATTAGTTCAACATCACTTCCAATGATTTTGCTGTATGTCACTGAAAAGGGTGTGTTGTCATGAATAATTTGTTCTGTGGAATCACAGGCCTGAGGGAGAGAGACCTGTACTCTGTCCTCAGTACGTGCAACTACCTGTCCTCCTGTGGTGAAGAGCTGTCGTGGCAGGAAGTCCTTCAACTGTCCAGGAAGCCAAAAGACCGTGTTCCCATGGCCATTTTCACCTTGATAGTGCAGAGTTTGAGGAGGTAGGTGTCCTGACCAAGTAAAACAAAAAACACATCGGTAAATACAGCCTGCTCAGTAATTTTACCTTTAACAGTCAATTTATTTTCTAACAAAATGCAAGAATTAATGATGATCTCATCAGTGTTCTATTTTAGAGTGTGTTATAGATATTTCAGTGATTTTACCAAGAAAACCTGAAGCTTGAGAAATGTCTTTGACTTTGATTGACTGACAGTGATTCCCCTCCATACACAACCCACCAGGGGTGTGTATTGATATATGTTTCACGATACAATGATGCAATGTACTGTGATATACTGTAATACTGTTATGACAATGTTTTTTTTTTACAATTTAAATTGTAGTAAAACTGTCATCATAGTAAACACATTTTTTTTTAAATTAATTCTGTTTAATCTACTTCCTGCAGTCTGATTGGTCCATTCCACTGCCACACCACTGATGACCTGCTGATTCTAACGAACCCGGAGGTGAAACAGGCTTTTGAAGATTTCTTTCTCCCAACAGAAGACAGTCGCACCAGAGCTCACTTTGTACTGGCAGGTAAAATTCATTTGTTTTGTCTATAATTTATTTAAAAAAAACCCAGATATAAGCGAGTACAGCAGATCAGTCCATGACTGTTTCTTCACAGCTCATCTGTTTACACTCTCTGACCCTGAGGGAACAGACACCTTCCTCCACTGTGAGACCAACTCTATTAAGCAGCTGCCTTACAGTCTGGTTAGTTGACGCTTTATGGATTAATAACTTTCAGATGAGTTTGATAGGTTTTGTTTTTTACTGTTTTTTCCTCCTGTTATTGGTTTTTGCTCAGATTCAGAGTGGACTTCTGGAAGCTCTGCAGTCTCTTCTCTCCAGCTACTACTTCCTGTACGCCTGTGTGCGCCGAGGCCTCCTTCACCACCTCCTTGAAATCTACAGCCTCTACTGTACGTATGCATAACAATATGTGCAACATTGTTTTGCTGTAATGAACACATTCATTCATAAAAACACTCCCAGTGATTGTATCCTGCTACATTTTTGGCTTTTCCTGCAGATGAGACACAAGAGTCTTCAGCCTCCAGTAAGTACCTATGAACACATTTACCTTTATTGTTCTCCAGGCAGCCGTTAATCCACCGTTTCCTCTTAGTTCTTCCAGAGGACTCCCGACTCCGTATTGACGACTGCAGGAGTTTCCTGCAGCGTCACGCCTCACTGCTCTCCTCCAGCCCAGCTCTTTTCATCCAGCAGGCCTTCAATGCACCTTCAGAGACGTCGTCTCACACCTGGGCGCGAGGCCTGCTGAGAGAGGGAGGGATCAGAGTGGTGGAGTGGCTGAACAAAGATGAAACTATTCAAGAGACCAGGTCAGTAGTTTTTTTTCTCACAGGTCGTATACTTCAGATTCATTCACACATTTTCAATACGGGAGCCTGTGTTTCCCCTGCAGTGAGCTGGTGTCCACGTTCTCCTCTGAGCCAACCTGTGTGGCAGTGAATTCAGATGGAGACTCGATGGTGGTGGGTACCAGTCAGGGAACACTGCATGTCATCAACACACAGACAGGACAGGTACAGAAAAGTATTCATTATACCTTATAACCCTCTTTAATGCCGACTTCCTGAGTGATGTCACGCTTTATGTTGTTTTCTGATAGACGGTGAAATCCCTGGTTTGCGGCTGTGACGGCGTCTCCAGCTGCGTCTTTCTGAAGGACGGACATCTCGTTACCACCTCCTATGATGGAAGAATAGAGTTGTGGGACATCAGTAACAGCTGCAGGTAAAAGAGGGACAAACTAGAGCCAACTCTCTGCCTTTGTAACCTAGCTGTAGTTCAACATCAGTAAAACTGTGTTCATTTTGTCTTCTGAAGTCTAATAAAATACAATTCTTTTATTTTATTGACCATATATCTGTTCTATCAGAGTATCACTCCCTGTCTTTTTTCTCTTTTTGCAGGTCTGCTCTTATTGAAGGCCATAACAACACAATAACAGCCAGTGACGTCACTGCAGACCAGAAACATTTGGCTACCGTGTCTCTGGACTTCATGCTGAAAGTTGGTCCAAATTAAATCCTGAAAAACTTGCGTTGGTAGACTTCTAGTCTAGTTACCTTTTTTGAAATCATTTTTTTTCTGACCCTCAGGTGTGGTCCTCCACCAAATGTCGTGAAGTGGCAGTCCTGCCCAGCTCCAGTCCCTTGAACTGTGTGACCTTTGACCCCCAGGGTCATCTACTGGCTGCTGGTTGCTGGAATGGTGACGTGATTGTTTGGAACTGGCTTCAGAATAAAACTCAATCTGTGAGTCACAGTGAGAGAAGGAGTTACGTTGTCACATGTTAAAGATGGGGGTTCAAATTAAACCTGAACACACATTTATTATTTGTTGTCACTAAAAAAATTGCACAGTTAAAAAGGTTTAGAGAATTGGCTCAAAACAAGGAGAAATAACTATGTTAATGTCTGTGTAGAGACTAATATAGAGACTAATAATAATAATAATAATAATAATAATAATAATAATAATAATAATAATAATAATAATAATAATAATAATAATAATAATAATAATATTAATATTAATACTCCCGTCTGTTCCCACAGCCTCTGTCTGGTCATAAACGCTCTGTTCGTAGCCTCTCCTTCTCCACCTCCTCCATGCTCTGCTCCGGCTCGATGTCAGGGGAGGTGAGGGTGTGGTCGGTGCCGACCTCGACCTGTGTGGGATGTTTTCAGGCTCATCGCGGAGCCACGGAGGACTTGACCTTTCTGGATGAAGGAGCGCTGCTTCTCAGTGCCAGCTCAGATCACAGTGTGAGACCTGGTTACCTACACATATTTAATCTGGATTAGATTAATTAATTAATTAACTGTACAGCCAAATGTGGTGATGCATATAAACATAATCAATACATACGTCAGAGTCTGTGAGGCCCAATGTATTTCCTGATGTCTTTTGTTTTTCCATGAAACAGCTCCACCTCTGGTCAGGAGGACTTGGACGATCCATCGCTACTTTAAAGAATGACAATGTGAGCTCCGTTTTCTCTTTTTTATTCATTCACCTTCCCCAACAATTCTCCTATTGTTTACATTTATTTTGAAACAGTACTGGCATACTTGAGGCTAAATTATCTGGCTGTGCTGTTGTGGAATTAAAACACAAAAGTTCAATATTTAATTTCTAAAGAATAAAAAACATTTGTGGTTTGGATGGATCTCAGTCTGACCAGGAACCTCCTCGGAAGAAACTCAAGAAAGTGGAGTTGGATCCTGCAGCACTCTGCGTGGCAGTAAATGGAAACTACGCTACTGTGGGTTACCATGGAGACGGATTCAAAGTCTTCAGTCTTGAGTCAGGTGATGATTTGTTTAAAAAAAAGTCAGTGTAAATTGTAGTCGTGGTTTTTTTTTTTTTATCTTCACTTGGTTTTACCTGTATCTCAGGTGAGATGGTGTGGTCCACAAGGAACCTCAATGTGTCCGTGCCGTCTCTGCTGTGGGTCGTGGTGGACAAAGATCAGACCCAACCTGAGCTTCTTGTGTCTGGAGGAAGTGACAAATGTTTGAGGATCTGGAAACGAGAAGGAGACGGGGAGGGAACGATGGTCGATCTGACGATGTTGAGGATGCTCGCTGCACACGGTGTCGTCCTGACCATGGCTCAGAACTCCACCTACCTGGCTACAGCTTCAGGTGAGGGTCACTGATGACTACAGAAAAGCAGTGTCAACATCAACACGATGTTACCTCCTAAAAAATAATCACCTTTGTTTCCCTGTGACTTAGATGATTTCACCATTGCATTGTGGTCCTTGAGCGACTTGGCTGCAGACGGCTGCACCGAGCCCCACACTCTGCTGAGAGGACACCAAGGAGGAGTCACATGTTTGGCTTTCAGTCCCGATGGTGGACAGATGCTCTCTGGTGGAAAAGATCAGGTGAAATGAGTTCATCCAGAGGTTTGAATTTACCAATGTTGATAATAAATCACACACATTTAACGTCTGTGTCTGTGTCCGTGTCCTCAGGCTCTGATGGTTTGGGACGTGAATGCATCTCCACCTGCTCTGTCTAAATCTCTACCTCACGCCCACAGAGACTGGATCACAGGCTGTGTTTGGACCCCAGACTGTGTCGTGAGTCTTCACTGTATTTATTTCTGTTTTAGACATACCAGTGAGACGTTGACCACTGTGACCTTTGACCTGTCTCATCCAGATTAGCTCCTCGGGTGACGGCAGGCTTTGTTTGTGGGACCTGCAGTTAGGACAACAGTTGAGAGAAATCTGCTGGAATAGTTCTCTCAGCTCCATCTGCTGCCTGGTGAGAAAAAAATATTCATCATCAGCCTTAAGACGTAAACATGTCAAGTTTTTGTTTTTCCCCACTAAAGTGAAAGTAAAATACTTTTTTATCTTTATATTTGTTTGTTTATTAAAAAGATAATTACTTGTCACTGGTGTGTTGATCCAGTGTTGTGTTGTTGTCGTGTGCAGGGACAGTATGTGATGGCAGGCTGTGGAGAAGGAGCACTGCATGTGTGGAACTGGAAAACCAGTGTAGAAATCTGCCACATTAAGGCTCACAGGCAGAACGTAAACCACTGCTCTCTCCTGACTAACACTGGTACTTCAACTATGCTTTCTTTCCACTTTTTAAATTCAAACTCTTTATACTCTTTAATCTCTGTGATCCACAGTCTATACATATATTTTTATATTTAAATCTTTATATATATATGCTTTGTAGACAAAAATGTAGAAGTAAATCCAGAGGAAATGACAGTCGTCACTGCATCTGAGGACGGTACAGTGCAGCTGTGGAAACCACTGCAGGTCTGTCTACTCCATACCACTCCATATTTACATTTTAGGCCAAGAGCTAAACCTACTGCTAATGCAAAATCATAAAAGTGGAGACTTTGTGTAATTCCGAGGTTTCTTACTCTACAGATGCAGCACTTTGGCACCTTCCAGGGTCACAGTGGGGCGATTCACGGGCTGGTCTGCAAGACAGGACTCTCTGAGTTCCTGACTGTCTCTGAAGACTGTTCACTGCGCTGCTGGGCCTGGAGAAACAGTAATGGACTTTAATTTCTCCTGTCAAATGCAGTTCAAATGTGTTTTTTTTGTGTGGTTCTGTGACAGACGTCGTTTCATCCTCTTAGAGATTCCCATCAGCCGCTCTGACCCAGTCACGGCTCTGTGCTTCTCCCAGGAAAACAATGTGTGTTTTGTTGGTTACACATCGGGTCTTTTGGAGCTGTGGCAGAACAACGCAGTGATTCACCACAAGCAGGTAAACACCAGCACCTGAAAAACTCTAGACAATCACATTACTGTGTGTGTAATCATGCCGTGTGTGTGTGTCAGGTTTCAGATGCCAGCATCACAGCCATCTGCTGCATGCCTCACAGCCAGGTCGCTGTCAGTTACACAAACTGTTTGATTGATGTGTGGAAGCTGATCTGGAATCAGCACAACAACACAAGAAGGTAATAAGCAGAGTTGTCAACAAAACATCTACTCTGAAAGACTGAAAAGAGAGAAAAAAAGAATTTATAGAACATACATATATAAAAAAGGACCATTTGTTTTCCAGACTGGTGAAAGAAACCACACATGAGACAGAGAGCACTCCCATCAACCTCTTCTTCTGCTCCATCCTGATGGCCATGACCAACAACGGGTTGATGCATGAAATTAAAAACAACAACACTGTATACACGTACGTCTGCACAATATTGTAAAGGTCATAGTTTCCTGTTGGATTTCTATGTTGTGTAAATCAGGAGGATGTGTGAGTTAAAATGTCACTGATTAATTTACTTCTTGTTGCACCCAGTAAAAAACACCCAGTCGTGAAAAGTTACATTCGTTCCAATAACCGTCTTTGTGTGTTTTTTCAGCCAATGGTCCTATAATGTCCGAACTCTGGGTGTTGTCCTCAACGACACCAAAAGTGCGTGGGTGTTTGGTGAAAAAGAGGCAGAAGTTCACCTGGGCTTCATTGTGAGTTTTTTTTATTTATCTGTGCAGTGAGAACAAACACAAATTAACTAACTGTTTCTAAATTAACTAAAAAACCCATAAGAATGATTTTTCACCTTTGGTTTCAGTTTACCATGGGGCCACAGAGTTCTTTGGCTACGAGTTTTAGCTCTCTGACCCTAAAGGAGGAGGGTGAGGAGGGGAACGAGGAGGAGGACAAGGTGACAAGAGCAGGGAAGAAGAAAGTTATCACAGCTGCAGCTGTGGACAGAGGTACAAAAGTAGTTCTAGTCTGAGAACGTTTTCTAAAGAAAAAAAATCAGGTTCTACAAGTTTGGTTACCTTGACTGTTCTTTCAGACTGTGTTGTGTGTGGAGACGTGAAGGGAAACCTGTGGTTCACTCACATATCAGAGGATTCACCAGTGAGCAGCAAAAAACCTGTGAGAGACTCCACACACACACACACACACCAAACAGCTGTAAACTGCAGCCGTAATAATAAACCGGCGGCATGACGACCATTAAGACCTTGATTAACAAAATACTGTCATTTCATATTCAACACATTTATATTATTATTATATTGGGTGTTTTTAAGTTAAAGTCATGTGACACACCAAAATAATCACTTGTTTACACAGACCGCATTTTATGTCAAATAAAGTTCTGTGTAAGTCAGGTTGTGCAAATAAATTAATATTTACTCCTTATATAGCCTTGAAAACTTTGTATATTTCAGCATATTTCAAAACCACAAAGCAGGATCTTTAAATACCTTTCAATTAATCTTTTTTTCCCCTTGAAATACAGTAATTCCCCCTATTTTTTTACCGGATAGCAAAATTGCAGTTTGTATGACTTTCCACTAGACGGCGTAGTTACCCAGGAAATATTGCATTTAGCAACCTGCGGTTAATTGATGGCAGGTTTGTATTTAAAATGATAGACCAAATAGCATAGAATATGTATATAATTATTCCTTGTGGAAGTTTTTTTTTTAAATTATGGCTCATATTTTGTCGACCCTCTCTCACCCCCCAGGCTCACAGTAACAGGATCAGTGTAATCCGACTCACCAACAGCACCATCATCTCAGCCTCCCATGACAGGACGGTCAAGCTGTGGGACAGAATCACCAAAAAACAGGTGAGTTTTTGTTGTAACTGTTAAAGCTTCATACGGTGTTTAAATTATGTCAGCAGTGTCCACAAAATAATAATGATAATATTAAAGAACATTTCTAGTATGATTTAGGATTATACTGTAGTTATCTACTGGCTACTTATCCTGGCTAAAAAAGTTTGAAAAAGTGATCAAACTTAACCTTTAACCTCCTTCCTCATCCTCTCCCCGCAGGTGGGTATGTTTGTGTGTGGAGGTCCAGTCCTGCATTTAGAGCTGAATCCAGGGAAACCCTCTGAACTGGTGTGTGCTGATGGACACGGAAAAGTTTACTTTCTCTCCTGGAAAGAATAATCTGGGGGTCGGGATCTGAATGGAGGGGGGCACAATTTCACCACACTATGATGTTGATATAAACGAAGGAAAATGTACAATACATTTAGCTAAAATTATGCAATGACTTCTGTTCCACACCTGTGCTTTAATGCCTAATGCCTTTATGTTACTATATACCTGGAAAGGTGACACGAATAGAAATATTTGTTGATTATGTTTGAGTCATTTAAGCTGAAATGGATGACAATCATGGGAAATAAAAGAAGAGTTAAGTTGCTTCAATGATCACGAATAATATTTCTTGACAATAAACTACTTGCACTTGTTGATCCTGTGTTCTTTGGTTTTATTCAGTTTTTATCTACCGATGCTGAGCTTACCAACGTAGTGAGATAGTGTGGTTTAATTGATCTACAATATATATATAATTTGCAATTCTACACTGGCTTTTTTGGATGAATATAGTGAAGTAACCCGTCCAAACAGTAAGTGATGAGCAGGTGGAAACAGCTTATCAGTCAATGATTTTACAGCTCTTATCTGTCGGACAGATAAGGACTGTTTAACTAGTAGTGTAAACAAATCAAGGCTATTACGCATTGATTTTGTGTGATTAAACCATAAAAAATGGAAGACAAGCTAATCTAAGATAAACCACCAAAAATGTGGGTGTGTTTAACATAAAGAGAACTACAGTGTGCTCACACTTCCAACCAGATGTCTATCTCTTATGAACTGTTGATGGATTAGATAAAATGAGTTTTATATATACGGTACAACTGATGATCCCAATATTTAACTGTCTATCATCTTCCGCCGTTTGTTTAAGAGTTTTTAGTTGTTTTAGGGTTTCTTTGCAGAGTACAGTCGTAGATAAAAAAAAAAAGACATCTCAGAAATCTTGTGCACCGTCCACAATAAGTAGCATCCTGTCACATTTCAATTTCTTCCTTCAGACTCCCCCTGTGGTGATGAAAAAAGAAAAAGAAAAAGTTAATTCGAAGTCTTCTTTTAAAGCCCCGTTGCAGAGGTCATATTTACTGAGCCGACCTTAAACGCAGCACCAGGTGAGGCCAACGCTTACCAGGACACAAAGGGTTTTTTTTTCTCCCCTATTCTTCTCCTTCTTCCTCTTGGTTCACATTTCACGAACAAAAGGTCTACCTGTACATTTAAAAGGCCAATAAATGTAAATGGCTACCAAGTGTGCTGACTATTATTATTATTATATATTACATATATTTATAATAATATAATCAATACTGAATTTCCACAGACGTTTAAGCTGCTGCTCGAGATTTGTTGGTTAATTGCTGATTAATAAGTGTAACTGAATTTAAAATAAATAAATTGTTTTTAAAAAATTATGTGACTACAGCCTGTGGAGTTATACCTGTACTATGCATGTAGAAGAAACAACACCTTTGGGACAGAAATTTGAAAGTATTTTCAGAAATGTGGAAAATACCTCAGATTAGCAAACATGGCTACATTTATGCTCACTGGTTATTTACGGATAAAACAAAACATTGCCAATTTTAAATTTTATACGAGCTATCTATGGTCGATTAATTGACATAGTTTTCGACATACTACTCGGGAATGAAATTAATTGTACATTTTCATCTTGAACAAACTCACAGGTGTGTGTCGAGGTGAACCAAGTTAGAGGGAGTCTCCTTTTTTTTTTTTTTCAGTCGGGAAAAAGAGGGCGGTTCCTTAAGTTCACATCCCACAACAGTAGTGTCGGTATCGACACAGTAACAATGTCGAGGACCTGGAACAGTCTGTGTGGAATATTTTAAACATTTTGAACGAAGATACTTATTTATTTGTCGTATGTCATCGGTTAAACGGAGGTAACAGTCGAACACGAAAAGGAAAAGACCGTCTGAGTCCGCCGATGGTGAGTTCAGTGAAAATCGGTTATATTTAAACCGGCCTAGAAAGATCACGGATTTTTAAGAAAGTAAAAGCTAAAAAAAAAAAAACGACGGTTAAAACTGCTTTAACGTGGCTTCGTTTCTGTCACTGTTTTACAGGATCGGTACGATAATCTGGAGTTGGACCTGGAGTGTGATGGAGGAGGCGTCGCTGTGAGTTCCAACACGTTCTTAAGTCTTTATTTTTTTAGACAATGTCACTTTAAAAAGTCAAAAAGGTTACAGGCAGTAAACGTCTTCACCTTTGACGTCACCCAGTGGTGCGTTTATGTGACGTTTACGGGTTTGACCTCAGACTTCCCGTGTCACAGCAAATGTCAATAAACGTGAATAAGTCTAGTGTTTCTCAAGTAGTGGGTCTTGACAAAAAAATCGGCCACTGTAATAAAATGTGTGGACCGGTGTTTGTTGAATAAAACTTGTATTAACACTGTTATTTAATTTATTTGCAGTGATTTTCACCTCGATGTTGTCAGTCAAACTAACAGTTTTTCACTCTCCTTCTCTTTTTCCCAGCAAAAAGCAGCATTGTTTGGTGGGATGTTCAAAAGATCCTCTAAAATTGTCGAGCCACAGGTGATAGTTTTAATATTTGTTCTTTATTTAAATTATAAAGAGTTCTAGTTTCTCATATCAACTCAACCCTGCTATTCTGGTCTTCATTATAAACTGAAGTACTGGTAATCATTGTGAAACAAATAACAATTATGAATTAATTAACTTTACTCTTACAGTGCCTTATCCTTTCTTTACAGGACAACCTGTCATCCAACGGTGATCTTTCAAAGAGCACTGAGAGTCTGACTGACAACAACAAGGTGCAATTATTTTTCATACCTCATTTGTTTCCCAGAGAAGATAAATCATATCACATGATAAAGTACTGCTGTAACAGGAGGTTTTTCTTTTAATAAACATCTCTGACTTATTATTTGATGCTTTAGGACAAGGGAGTGTTAAAAGGAATGTTTAAGAAGACGACCAAGTCGACAAAGGAAACGTATCCAGAAGTAAGCAGAGACTTACTTCAATATTTGTCTTTTTAAATTATTTTTATTATAAAAAAAATTGAGATAAATGAAATGTGAAGCTTTTCAAATTTTTTATCTGCTTTTGGAATTAATACTCTCAGTACAAATGACTGAAAGGGATTTTCTTGTATTCTTAAAAAACAGTAAAATAAATGAAATAATTGTTGATGAAGTTACATGTAATATTACAATGAACACTATGTGCCAGGTTCCCTGTTCTAACCTTGACATTGAAATATGAGTTTCAGTCTTTTTTTTTTTTTTGTTAACAGGCCACACAGTCAGAACAGGAGCCCCACGTCTCCAGTGTTGACAGTTCATCAGTGAACAAGGCATCAAAGGTGAGTTCATTTTCCAGTCACTGATTTTTCTATCATTGATCTTTGTGACCAAACGTTTTTTTTCTCCGGCCTCATTTCTCTCCAGGATAATTCAGGTGTTTTGGGAGGGATACTGAAACTGCCTCACAAACCAGGCCATGTCCGCAGGCCTTCACAGGTGAAATCTCATCTTCTATTATAAAACCGTCCCCTTGGGGAAAAAAAGCAGATTTCAAAATGTTATTAATTAAATGTGTGGCATGTTTAAAGAGGAGTTTTGTGGTTTGACAAAGAGACTGAGGACAAACTTGTGTTTCAGGATCTTTTGGAGTGTGAACTCTCCGCCACTAATGGAGGTTTGCCTGAAAACACCAGCGCTAAGGTGAGTCACATGACCTACATTCACATGTTCCCGATTGTAAACAATGGCTGGACTGTATTAAATACAGAAGAGAAAATGCAGTGTTTATTACTCTGCATAATTATGTTTAGATATGAGCTGCAAACATCTAAAACTTCTGGGTAAAATTTTAAAGGCTTTGTGTGTGTGTGTGTGTGTGTGTGTGTGTGTGAGGCCGACCTGCTTTCACCAGAAACACTGAAACAAAGAAAGAAAGAACTGACTGGTGCTTGAATCCCTGTCTCTCCAACTCACAGCCACGGCTTTTTTTTAAACACCATCAGTTTCAGTTTACATAACACAGGCGTCATCAGAGGTGTAAATAAAAAAGGTGAAAAATGTTCCCCTTCAACCAGGAATCTGCTGGGATGTTCAGTGGAATGTTCAAGAAAAGCCCAAAGTCATTTGGAGCAAGGACACAGTCTCAGGTAAGTTTTTCTTCTCAGAATTCTCCTCATTTCTCACTTTACCCATATATATTTTTATTAACAATGAGTTTTTCTTTTGTTTTGTCCATCAGGAGGATTTGACGGCACCCAACGAGCTCTCAGGAAGCAACGACAACCTTTCTCTGACTGGTAACACGAAGGTGAGGTTCTCGACACGTCTGTGGCAGCTGGATTATCCTGGATTATGTGTTAGGATTGATCTTTTTCTCTTTGCATCTAAAAGTTTAGCAGTTTTACACGTGTTTGTATTCTTTCAGGAGTCTGCTGGGAAGTTCAGTGGGATGTTTAAAAAATCACCAAAACCATTTAGAGCCAGGCCTCAATCCCAGGTGGGAGTTTTACACTTTTTCATCCTTCTTGGCATTTGTAACATTTATGTTAATGTTTATAATTTTCTTTTTTTCTTTTCTATCCAGGAGGATTTAACGGCACAGAGCGAGGTCTCAGGCAGCAATGACAATCTTTCAGCTGCTGGAAACACCAAGGTGACTTGGCCACATACTTCACCTCCATCAACAGATCCTGATTAACATGTAATTACATTTTAAAAAAAAATCTTATTTCATATTATATTGTTTTTTTCTTTAAATCCCAGGAGTCCAGTGGGATGTTTAAAGTGTTTAAGAAACACCCAAAGAGAGCGCAGTCCCAGGTGAGGCCTTTGTTCCGCTCTTGTTCCAATTTTGTGACATCGTAGTTGAGATAAAAGTAAATAATGATCTGTAAACTTTAGGATGATTTATCAGCACCAGATGAGCTGTCACGCAGCAACGACAGTCTGTCTGAGACCAACACCAAGGTGAGTTTGTTAAAGCTTCATCATCGTCATCATCATCATCATCATCATCATCATCTGGTACAACAACGTGGCTGTCAGCTTGTCAACTCAGATCTTTTTTTTCCTAGGAAAAAGGAGGAATATTAAGTGGTTACTTCAAGAGAAAAGTTCCAAAATCTTACTCTCAGGTAACTTTTGAAAATGTGCTTAGTTTGTTTTACTCAACCTGCTATAAGAAAATATCGATATGATATTTTGTTTCACAGTACTCTATCAATCTCCTCCTCCATCAGTTATTGATTTTCTCTCACCAATTCCCAGTCCAATATTCCTGGTGTTGGTTCATGTTCTTTTTCTTTTCTTTCTTCTCTCGTGATTCCAAATGTAGATCCCTCTGTTCCAGTGTTTCAGACTAGGATCACACTTTCACTACAATTAAGTTGTTTTTTAAAAAAAATACACCGATACACAGCCCTAATTCACCCCTGACCACAGAGCAGAGACACATTTGTTGTGATATACCAACATTGACTGTGTGTTTCGTCTCCTTGTAGGATAATTTATTCATGGATGACGAACTGTCTGCCAGCAGTGAAAACCTCACAGGGAAGTCGTCAAAGGTGAGGAGCGACGACGCCGTTGTTTGTGTGACTGTGAAGCTTTGTCACAACTGTAGCTTTTTCAATGTTCTGTCGTTAACAGGGCGGAGTCGCAGCAAAGCTCCTGAAGAATCCTTTCTCCTCCTCCTCCTCATCTCAGGTCTGTTCTCTCAGTCAACACTTTGATCACATCAGTGGTCCTATCAGTGTGTTGGCTGAATGATGAAGTGACGAGTGTGTGTGTGTTCCAACAGGAGAAGGACAAAGAAGGTGACTCACAGGAGAACAGCTCCTCCACAGAGAAGCACAAACACAAACAGGTGAGTTTCGATCTCCCTGTGTCTCTGTGTCATGTCCACTCTGACTTGGACTCGTTTTTGAAGTTCTGTCCATTCAAACGCCTTTGTCCTCTCTTCAGAGCGGCTTCAGCGCGATGATGAAAAGCACGTTCTACGCAGACAAACCGGTACGACCGACGGTTCTCATCACATCACATTTCTGCTGACAACAACTGTAACTACAATAATTCTACAATCTGAATGAATCCATGACAATTGTCCGTCTCCACAGGAGAAGAAGGCCGACTCCGAGGACGAGGAGTTAGTGGACAGAGAGGAGCAGTCGGGTCACAAACAGGTTTGAAAAGATTCAAATTCATTGATTTAATTAATCACCTAACTGGAATTATGTCTTTACCTTTTTTTAAATCTTTTTATTTATATTTAGAACAAACTGGTGGGAGCCATGAACAAACTAAATCCTTTCCGATCTGCAAACAAAGTAATGACGGTGTAAACTCTGACCCCCCCCCAAAAAAACCACATGATGTTATTATTTTGTATCTTTTTATAGTCTTTTCAATCTATGTATATAAATATAAAAAATCTATGTTTTTAGAATGACAAAATTTTGGGTTCTGATGAAGAGGATCTACCTGAGAAGGTACTTTCAAAGTCACTTCTTCTTCCTGTTAGTGCAGTCATGCTGTACTGTCCTGTGGTGTGTGTGTGTGTGTGTGTTTAAAATAGAAGTATTGCAGTAGTAAATGATCAACCTTTAGTGGAAGTTGTGAAAATGTTGTGTAAAATGTGGACGTTTTTAACAAACTCCCAGACTCTGCTGAGAGTCCGGCTCAGCCTCAGATTAACCTCAGATTAGTCTCAGATTAGCCTCAGATTGGCCTCAGATTAGCCTCTGAAATCTTCACTGGTTTATGTTCTTCTCCCAGACCTCCAAGAGCGCAGCCATGCCCAAACTGAATCCATTCCGCACTGGAAATAAGGTAATAATATGTGTTTGTTGGTGGAGTTGAAATATTATAGGAGTTTAATGGAATTTAGACAGGTTTGGTGACAGTGTTCATTTAGTTTAATTTTCTAAATGTTGATTTAGCAGCAGGATTACCATTAAAGTCATCTGGTGAGATGTGTCTAGATTCAAGTTTGTTTTATTCATTTGGTTCAACTGTTGTTTTTGTATTTATTTTATGTAATATTATCCCTTTTGTATGTAATACATTAATATTTTGACCTTTGCAATTAAGATCTATCGTAGCCTTGTCAGATGAGGTCAGTAAACGCCTCAGTCATTGTAATAAGTTGGTTTATTTTTTTAATACCAAATATTTGCTGTTCTTTATTCTCAGAAAGATCCTGAGGATACAGAAACACCCAGAGAGAAGGAGCAGAACATGGAGGAGAAACCGGTTGGTCTGCTCTTTATATCAGTGATGAGTCAACTGTCGCCTCACACACTCACTCACTCACTCACTCACTCAGTCAGTCACTCAGTCAGTCAGTCACTCAGTCAGTCAGTCAGTCAGTCACTAACTCAGTCAGTCAGTCAGTCAGTCACTCAGTCAGTCATTCAGTCAGTCAGTCAGTCAGGAAGAAGAAAACATTTCCTGACTCTCAGACTCAGAGTCTGAGTTGGACTCTAGTTTTAAAGCAAAGTCAATTCCTCTACATTTCCTCACTTTTGCAAAAAAAACTCGAACCAAAACTAAAACTAAAACTTCCTCTTTGCACAGTGTTTTGATTAAACCATCAAACTGGTTTCACAAAGTATGAGTAAATATATTTACCGACGGCTGATCAACCGCTCCTGTCGACGGTCTCCACCTCATCTCACCGCCACATTTCTGTCTCCGTCCTCCGGTATTTCTCCAGTAAACCGTCTCTGTGTTTGGTCTCAGGTCAAAGGCACCGCCGTCCAGCAAGACAAGGGAGAATGGAAGGAACGAAGTGAGACCCCGCAGCCGCCGCCAAGACCTACCAAAGAGGTTTGGAAGCATGTCAGCTGAGTGTGTGTGTGTGTGTGGGGGGGGGTTCTTCAAATGACGTCTTCATTTGTCCCTGTCTGGTTGTGATGCAGGAGATGAAGAAGACATCTGCCTACAACAAAGTGAAAACAAGAGGAACTGAGGATCCTCAGGTGAACTTTGTTAAATGTTACATAATGACGGAGGCCTTCAGTCAGTGAATGTTTAAAGAAAGAGTTGTTTTTTTGTAAAAAGATGTTCTTTGGTAAATTCACACACCTTGAACTGATATTAAATATTAATTAGATCTGTCATCACTTTTCCTTTTCTGCTGCAGAGCCAATCAGACGATGAGTCAGCTGAGGTTAAAGGTGGAGACGAGCTGAGAGCCACCGAGAGCCAACCCGTACGTTTCTTCCTTAAAAAAACTCTTCCTGTAGTTTGATCTGCTTCACATGCAGGTGAAATCTAACTCCCAGTTTAAGATTTCGCTGTATTTAGATTTACTTCTGCTTTGTCGTCATCACTTTTCTATCTGAGCGTCTTTCAAACGTTCACACAGTCAACAAGTGTCACGTTCCTGCAGAGTTACGATGACACTGCTGTAATCAGCCTTCTCACACCTGGTCAGTCATGAATAATTATTACCATGGTCCAGTCAACCATCATCCATGGGTGTGGGCCAGAAATACAAGGGAATAAATGACCTTGAAGTAACTGGAATATTCCCCCTCTGATGACAACGTAACTGTCAGTTAATCCAGCTGAAAATCCACGTTGAGGATAGAGCTCTGGGCTTCGGCCTTCCTCTGGAATAAAGTCTGGTCTGACTATGATAACAGAACTGTGAGGTTACCAAGAGTTTCATAACGATTCCCAGGAAGTGACCCGACCACAGGCCACACAAGACATTTAACTCGTCTCGTGCTAATGTTGTTTTTTTTTCTCCTGTTTAAGGTGAAAAAACACAAGGACAAGCCGTACAGGCCACGAGCTCCAGCCAAGGTGACGCTGTCAACGTGCAGCACAAACTCATCTTTGATTTTTTTATTGATCACCGAAACTTTTCAACCACATGATTTGTGAGGTTCCTTTTGTGTATGCTGTGTTTTAGGCTAGCTCTGATGATGACGAGCTGAAAGACGAAGAGGAATCTTTGTCCCAAGATGAAAAGAAAGATGAGGAGGAGGAGGAGAAAAAAGCGGTGAGCTTCAAATCTGTCATTTTATTATTATATGATTGTATGATATATTATATGAACATGACTTGTAGTATGTTGTTGAAATTAAAATAAAAAAAGCTAAAAGATAAAACATCTTCTCCTGACTTTATACATTCTAGCTAACAGCATCATCGCAAATGATCAACTATGATGATAACTCAAATATTGTGTTTCTGTCTGTGGTTTTTCTTCCTGTCTGAAGTGATAATGCAATCTTGTTTTGTTTTTTTTTCTAGACCAAAGTCAAGAAACCAAAGAAACACAATCCTTTCATGCCACGGGTCAAGGTAACGTTTGACGTCTGACTTGTTCTGACTCGTCTTCCTCTTTGTTGACAGTGTCTGTTATTTAAAGCGCTGCGCTCAGCCCCCCCCCTGACCCCCTGAAACAAAAATAGACTCATTATTGTTTCCAACTTCTTCTTAGTTTGTTGGGTACACAGACATTTTTATTATTGGAGTCCTAGCTGTAGAAAGGCTGGTCTGATCTCATCAGGGTGTTGGGATAAAAATGTGAACTCCTCACACTGCAGTAAATAAAAGTCCCATCACCTGTTGTTTCAGAAATAAACTCCTGTCCTTCTGCCCTTTACAGGCCAAAGTGAAGCAGAGATCGGCGCAGACTGAAGCTGACAACGCAGAGGAGGTGGGAATGTTGGTTGTCTGTCACCGAAACTTCAATTTGATCTTGTTTTAGTCATCTGACCCGTCCATCTTCCTCCTCCTCCTCCCACAAACAAACCTTCAAGATTGTCTCTAGGGCAAACAACACTCAGCTCCCAAGAGGGGCCATTACAGCCGACATGTTTTGTTTTTTTCCCCCACCCTCACATCCCTCCATGTTTGTGCATGTCCACAGCAGCGGAGGCTGAGATCAGATCAGATTACTATGTGACCAGACTCGTTTCTCTGCTTCCTCTAACAGGAGTCCATGACATATTTTTCACTTTACGTCTGGAAGAAAAAAAAAAGGAGAAAAAAGTAACATCAGTTCCTTTTTAGTGTTGGGGAAGTAAAAGAAGTGAAACTGAAGTGAACACAGTGTGAAATAAGTAACACAATCTGATCGATGTCAACGTTTGAAAAGATTGTTTTGACCAAGCACCATTAGTATATGCAATGTTTCAAAGTGGAAAACCAAAAGATAGAAATCCTGTGTTTAATCATTTTTATTATTTTATTTATTTGTGTCATTTCTTTGCCGCAGGCTGAAGGTGGAAACCGGTCTCTGTTCGACCGACTGGAGGACTTACGTGAGCCGTCACGGCCAGAAACAAACACTGATGTCAGTGAATTCAACAATAAAAGTTGGAACTGTGAAATCTATAACATAACATACCTGTAAATAAACAAACATATGAACTCATTCATATCTACTGGTGTTCTCAGGACGTGGAAGATCTGATGGAGTGGTGGGACACGGTGGAGCGTAAGTTACACAGAAAATTGGATGAAGATCACTTGGATGAATGCCACGCCTGCAGCCAAAAAAAAAAGATTTACATGTAGCATGGATATTTAAAAAGCAGCTTTAAAAATCCATCTCTTATTTCTCCTTTTCTTGTATTTCAGAATGGGAGGACACGCCACAGGAAGACGATATGACAGAAAAAGAAGAGGCCAAGTAAGAAATTACAAATCTGAACTTAGAACCAACAGAGTTAATGAATGTCTGTGTCGTGGTGGGCAGGTTATTTTCAAAATTAAAATTGACGTACAAATTATTATTATTATTATCAACAGGTGAATGTTTTGTTTGTAATGTTTTTTTTATTAAAAACCAACTTTCTCTTTCCAGGGCCTTTGCTGTAACGGCTGATAAGGTTCAGAAAGGAATCCGTGTCTTCAACAAACTGTTCTCAGAGCGAGCGGAGAGCCTGTGGCAGCACGTCATCGACCTCAACGCCATCGCTGACGGTTTGGACAAATTTAACAAGAAGACAAAAATTGCCCAAATCACCGGTGGATCCACGAGTGCCATCGGCGGGGTGGCCACCATAGCCGGCCTGGCTCTGGCCCCGATCACCATGGGAACGTCTCTGATTGTGACGGCGGTGGGGTTGGGTGTGGCCACAGCAGGTGGCCTGACGTCGGCGGGCGCCGGCATCTCCAACCAGGTCAACAACTCACTGGACCGGAAGAAGGTGGAGAAGATTGTGCAGGACTACCAGAAGCAGATGGTGGACCTGAACAAGTGCCTGAAGTTCATCAAGCAGGGAATCGAAAATCTGCGCAGGTTTGACCTGATTAAGATGAAGAACCACGCATACAACAACGACTTCCCCGTCCTGAGCAGCCGGTTCTACGAGGACGGCGCCATGGCGGGGAAAGCCATCCTCATTAACGCCAACGAGATCATGCGTGTGGTGCAGATCGCCAACGTGGCCGGTAGCACGGCGGCCAGAGCTGTCCAGATCGCCAGCATGGCCACCGGCGTTCTCACCGGACTCTTCGTCGGGATGGACATTTACTTTGTGGCCAAAGACTCCAAGGAGCTGAAGAAAGGAGCCAAATCTGAGTTCGCTGCCAAGATCAGGGAGGTGTCCATGCAGCTGCACGACGGTCTGGTGGAGCTGAATTCTCTGCGAGAGGAGCTGCAGTCCACCAGCAGCGAGGACAAGGACACCGCCGACGTGGACAGCGAGAAGAAAGAGAAGGACAATAAATACGACAGTTCGGAGGAGGATGAAATCGACCGCATCAAAAAAGCCATCAAGAAGGACATTGAGAACAGAGAATATGTTTGACCCCAAACCACTTCTCATTTTTACAACGACTTCATCGATGCCAACGGTTTCTGACTCTGCTGCTTCGGTCTTTTGGGAAAAAAAGATCAGCTTATTTATTTTCACAACTTTCATCTAACAATAAAACTACATCAGGTATTTTAACAGTACAGACAAAAGTGTAGAATTGTGTGTATGTTCTACACCTAATGATATGAACGTCTTATCAAAGTGTATTGTTGACACTAGAGTGTGTGTTTGTGTGTGTGTATGACCTCACCTGAATGAGTGCCATGTTTTTTATTCTAAGCATTTTTTGTCTCTTCTCACCTTAAAAATATCATATAAATATATGGTCTGTATTTAACAGGTTTTTTATGTGTAAACTCGGACGACACGTAAGGTTTTCTTTGATCTCAGAATGTCTTGGTCAATGAGGTCGTCTCGTGTGTGTGTTTGTGAAAAAGAACCTTGAACACAACAACTGGAATGACAAAGTCTCACTCATCACTCATTAGCAGTAACTGTCTGCTGCGGCTGCTCTTCTTTTATAGCACACTACCTTTTCAGGTCTATTTTGGGTTAATCTGGTTGTTGGGTTACACCTTCACGTGCAATATACTGTAGACCTTTGTTTGTAATTGCTGTAAATGTGCAGATTCATAATAAAAACACTGATAGTGACATGTGTTTGTGGCGTTTCTCCAACGGCAGAACTCATTCAGTTATATTTGGAGCTCCTTAGACAGACAGTGTGTGTTTGAATGTCCTGCCTGCAGTCCAGATCTGTCCCCTGGTAGAAAAGACAAATCAAACACCTGTTTCTGAATTCCATTCCCTGGAAACATTTACTCTCTCTGTGTTTGTCTTTTCTGTGACTGTATTCCTTTGTTTTCAAACCACTCCCAACATGTTTGGATTTTCTACATATGACACTCATGAAAGCCATGACTCAGATTCTCTGTCCCTGGGAAATACCGTCCTACAAAAACACACACACGCACACACATAGGTAAACCTTATGGCTTAAGCCACACCCACTCCCAGGTGACTCCCCCGCAGCCATAGATACAGGAAGGAAACAAGATTGTAAATCTGACATCTGCTCCAGCTCAAGCATCCAGGTAAGATATTTGACTTTGAATTATTGGCTGATGAAGATTTTCCCACGTGACTGAATGTGTATCTAATCAACTGAACAAAATAACATTTTAAGGATTTGTGGCACAGAAGCCTTTGTGGTGTGTTGTGCTTGGTGTGAAATCCTTTGTTCGACCTGCAGCTGATGTGACCTGTAGGTAGAATCCAGACATATTTTGGTTATATAACTGCAAATACTCAATGGGAAACCTGGCAACCCATTTATGTTTTATTTGAGCTTCATAAAAAAGTGGTATAAATGCAGCCAAAAATATTTTTTAATTTTTTTTTTAATTTCAGGATAGTGTTTCTTTCTGATGTGCTGTTTCTTTATAGTTAAACATTAACTTTTTTTTACTATTATAGCCACTATTTGGTGGCTACATTTTAGTTACCTTTAAACTTATCTTCTCTATAGCATTTTGCTATTTTTGTTAGAGAAATTGAGAAATTTAGCAGTGGTTTCCCAATTCGAAAATCATATCATCATTGATCATATCGTGGAGTAATTTTTGTTAAAAAAATTTATTCTAATACCTTCTAGTACCTGTATGTCAATTGCCGAAGGTCATTGAGAGTTGTGAATTCCGATACTTTTGAGCTGCACTCTAACGCAGCACGTGTACAGATGTTGTTGTGGGTGTGGCTACGTTTCACTCACTGTGTCTGTCAGTGAATGGTCATGGTTGACGATGATCGGACGGTTTTCCTGTTTAAAAAGTTAACTTAAATACTTTAACCGAAGACTCTTCAATCCTGCGGTAGGTGAAACTCGATCTATTAGTTTTTGAGTCATTGGAGTAACTCAACCCACTCCACAAAAAGGAAATTGGTATTTTTTTAACCGACGTTTTACGACTTTAAAATATTTTACTTTCTGCCGTAAAACGATTCAAACGTATCACTTTTGCGATAATAAAAGTGACCTAAAAGTCGCTTAAAACAAAAGATATTTCTTTCTTGTCAAGATACACTCATTTACTGCAGTGATTTAAAGGACGAGAAGCATTCTTTTTGTTTTAACCAACAGATGATTATTAAAATCTTGAATAAAATGTAAATAATCTATTGTTTATATCATAGTATTTTTGTATTGTGATATTGGTCTATAAGACACAATAAAGTTTTAATTGTTTGTAGTTGTTGTTTTTACAGACAGGATGGAGGCATGTATGAGGAAGCCAGAAGCCAAAAAGAGACAAAAACCAGTGAGAACATTTAAAAAAAAAAAATCTTAATAATAACAATGTGTCATAATGTTAATACTTGTTTTTTTTTTACGTGCAGACAAAACCTCCTCCAAAACCTCCTGAGGTACAGCAAGGAACATAAACATTTCATTAGCAAAGTCACAGAAATGAAAAAAAAAGTTTTTTTCATGAGTTCTAAAGTGAACCTGTTATGATTAAGTGTAAAAATGTATTCACAGCTACGTGGAACTGAACCAGAAAGAGTTGAGAAAGCGACTCCTTTCATTCCTCCACGACCTACAGATGCTGTAAGTCCTTTTTTTTAATTGCATGTCCTTGCTAACAAGTGATGAAATGCAGTCTATACCAAGTCTTTAGATGAAGCACTTTTTTAAAATATCTGTACAAACTATGAACTCAAAAAGACAAGAAAGACAAAAATAGAAACATTTATTTTATTTTATTTTTTAATTTGTTTTTGCTTCCCAGGAGATGACACAGACACAGTACAAAATAAGCAGAACTACAGTATTCAACAATGAGGTAATTAAGATTAAATTCGATTTTTTTTTCAAACATTATAACTAAAATAATATTTATGTAGTAATTTGACAGATCATATATTCAGGGAAGTCCTTGAGGTTCCACCTGCGTATGGAAATGAAGGGCTCATTTATTTATTTATTTATTTTTACAGTTTCTGGTAAATGACAGAAAGAGAGCAGTGAAACCTACTCCTCTGGTTCCATCACGACCAAAAGATGCTGTAAGTCTTGTTGAACTGTGGTGTCATTTTTTTATTGCATTATCCTACATCATAAACCCTTAAACCGAACTGATCCTGAAGGAAAAATGTTGCATCGTTTACGCAGTCCAGTTTCACCTGGGAGCATTTTCAGAATCAAGAAAAAAATAATATATAAAATGACGAACAGTTTATTTAACCTAAAATTTAATTCTCTTCAGGAGCTGAGTCATACACAGTATCGAGTACTCAGAGCTGCTGCAGAAAACCCTGAGGTAAGGCCTGTACAAGTACAAATGTATAAGTAACCTTTAAAACTAAATTACAATTTAGATCAGTTCACCTCGTGTTTTCTCACAGGACAAAGGCTCTGTAAATGACTTGACATATTGTTAGTGATGTACATGTAAATCTTTGAATTAAGAGTTTGAAATCATCATCACAGATGAAGAAAAATGACCTGGAGAAAAAAGAGAAGCCGACTCCTCTGGTTCCTCCACGACCTGCAGATGCTGTGAGTCTGGGCTTCAGTCCCATGGATTTTTCTCTTTTTTAATGGCATCAGTCTGTAAATTAATGTGGGTTTGGGACATTTTTAGTAGGTAGTCTTCAATGTTGCACTTTGTGGAGGTCCACATTTTAAGAACTAGCTCTACTCCTAATATAATAATATGAATTAATTATCTGTGCAGGAGTTGACTCAGACTCAGTATAGAATAACCAGAGCAGCAGCAACAAACACTGAGGTAATTCCTGTATTTGGTTTTGGTCATTTATTTACAAATCAGCCTTGAAATACCAAATAATTCTTTTCAAAAATAGTAAAATGTTATATGTCCAAAGATAAACGATTGGCACACATTTACAAATTCAGCATTTTTTTTCCAAAGAAGTCAGCATTGGTTTAATTGATTTAATTTAATATTTCTTCATTAATGTGTCATTTACTGATGTACACCCTCTGGAGTTTTAAACTAATTAATAGTTATAATAATTACCATCTGTACTCATCTATGTCAGGCCAACGGGAACCAAAGACCAAAAGACAGAACAGGGAAATCATCTGAACCTCCTGTGGCTCCGTCCAGACCTAAAGAAAAGGTACAATAACAATAATAATGGTTTTATGGGTTGACATTAGTTTTGCTGTCGCTTCCATTTATTGTATAAACATTATTTAGGGTCGAGATGACGTACCTGAGGTTGAGGATGTAACAAAGTTTACTGTAAAGAATTATCCTGAGCTACTCCTGGTTTCTGGTTTCTTTCCTGTTTCTACTCTCATGTTTAAACAATTTCCCTGTGTTTGTCTCTCCATGTTCAGGAACTCAGTGAAACCAGCAGGCACAGTCAGAGAAGAAGCAGAGAGTCACCTTACACGACAGCTGAGGTAAAAAAACAAACAAAAAACAGATCACAGCTTTGTTTCACTGCTTTGTCTTCACAGTCATTCCTTGTTCTTCGTCTTCTTCCTCTTTTTCTTCTTCTTCTTTTTTTTCTTCTTCTTCTTCCTCCCTCAGCATTCTGCAGAGAACCACAAACCAGAAGCTGCTCCAGCTGAAGACCAAGCCGACTTGAAACAGGTAGTTCAGAAAGAACAAAGAACAAACGCAGCTCTCGTGGATGGTTTTCAGTTCCTTTCTTCCCCTTTATTGACTTTATTTACCGTCGCAGGGGAACAACTCGGCTCTGACTGGGATTTTTCGACGGAGCCAAAAGGAGAAAACGTCTACTTTCACAGTAAGCGACGAGTCAAGTCCATTAGAGTCTGAGTCTCAATTATTTATACCATATGTCAATCATGATCAATCCTGAAGGCGTGTGGCTACAGGTGTAGGTCAGCAGTGATGAAGGTCACGTCACTGTTGAACCAATGTTGGATCAATCAAACGCTCCACTGTCTTTATTTCTGTTTTATCAGAGTTATGTGAATGAGGATGAGCAGCAGGAGGAAAAGACTGAAGATGTCGTCGCCAAAAAGGCTCCTGGGAACAAAACGGTGTGTGTGTGTGTTTTGTGTGTGATGTTTGCTGGTGTATTCACTCTGTGACATGTGACTGTGGTTGACAGGGCGGTCTGAAGGGAGTAATGAAAGGTTTGCAGTTCAAATCCTCACCAAAGGTACGAAGAACGGTCAGGTTTGGATTTGGTCACCGTGTGCTGCTTCTGTTTGTCCAGAGGTGGAGGTGGAGGTGGAGGTGTTTAAGGTGCTGCTGCTGCTGCTGATGGTGGTGACGGTGGTGGAGTTTCCATTTGCAGCTTATAGGAATGTGTCTGGAGTTTTCTGTGTAAAGTTAACAACATTTGTCATAGAAATACATTCACACCTTGACAGGAACAATCTGTTGCTGTTGGTCTGGTTTCATTCTGTGGGTCTTTTTATTATGGTCTGTAGCTGAAACCACTGAAATCCAGTAGTTCAGAGAGAATTAAGTGAAATACGTTGACAAAGATCAGTCGCTCCGTCAGTGAACACCTCTTTGAAGACCAAACATAGAACCAGGAGTGTTTATGTGAGGAGACCGGTCAGTAATATACCAGATCAGGATTGTTTTGCATATTGAAGTTATTATCTAGATAATTTTGTCAGGTTTTCGTGCTGAAGTAGATCCTAGCTTCAGTAGTTCAGTAAGTTGAATGGACGGGACCACAATGCACCTGGGCGGGTCCATGGGATATTTTTTTTACCAGAGACATGGAGGCGAGCAGGAATCTCTTTGTTATTGGTGTTTTGTTTGGTTGCTTTGGGAAAAACCACTCCTTGTGTTTGTGTTCTTTACTGCAGTTTCAGGTGTCTTCTACCGCCGCACTGTAAGTTGTACAAAAATTTGGTTTAATCTGTTTAATTTTGAGTAAAATCAGGAACCTAACCTGGAGTTGTGGTGACATACTCTATGGATTCCGTGACATCAGCATGTTGAAGCTGATTTGAAAGCCTTTTCTTTAAGTGTTGGCTCCAGGGGCTGCGTTGTGATCCATCTTGGAAAGATAAAAATATAATTTGAATCACGTTGATTCCTGTTCCAGGCCAGAGATCCCAGTCCTGGTGCAGAGGACGAAGCCTCGGAGAAGGAGCAAGAAGCAGAAAAAAACAAGGAAGAAAAAATCACAGAACCTAAACAGGTGAGAGGAACAGCTTTTCTCCAAATGTCTGTTGGAGAGAGAGAGAGTAAAAGAATTGTGTTTAAATCAACCAGGAAGCTGTCGGAGTGATTTGATCTTCAGGCAGGAATAAAAATGCAGTAATTACCTCCCTTCTCTGGTTTAATGTAATGGTTTTTAATGAGAACACGTTGTTGTTGTTTTTTGTTCTGGCAGGACAAAGGTCTCTTCACTGGGATGTTCCGCAAAACACCTAAAGAGAAACCATACCCCTCAGTGACGGTATCGTGTTCTCATCCTGTTAAATAACAGACTGTAATCACAGTTTTCATCTCTCTGGTTGTTCATTCACTGGTTCTGTCCATTGTCAGTTCAAACAGGAGGACAGCGACTCTGAGGTTACAGACAGAGAGGACAAGTCTCAGCAGCCACAGGTGACGCTTCAGTTATATTATCAGTCAACACCAGGGGCAGTAGAAGCAAGTTCAAAGACGGTCAGATGAACTGGTATTTGTCGCATATTTTTATTCAAACTGTTCTGGTGTTTCAGGAGAGTTTGAGTGCCAACCGTGAGCTGTCGCTCAGCAGTGACAGTCTGTCGGAGAACAACAAGGTAAACAGCCCTGAGGTAGAAAAACTGCAGCCTACAAACTGTCCTAAATTAGGCTGATCCCAGAAATGAAAGCAGACGGCGTTTGATCAACTGTGCGTTGGTTCTGTTTGTGTTAGGAAAAAGGAGGAATATTCAGCGGGATGTTCAAGAAGTCTCCCAAACCTGCAGATGATGCTCAGCCTGAGGAGGTGAATTAAAAACAAACAAACAGCTGAAACACTTCTGTTCCTGCAGTGATTATTCATTTATTTTGTATTCATTTCTCTTCTTGTGTTCCAGGACCAACAGTCCCAGTCTGACCACGTGTCCGGCAGCAACGACAATCTCTCTGAAAACTCCAAGGTTGTTTTGTCAGCCGGTGGACAAAGTTAGGGTTAAATGTTGTAGAATCATCACTAAACTGATCTTTCTTAATCTAACGTTGGCAGGACAAAGGAGGATTCTTCAGTGGGATCCTCCGTAAGACACCAAAGGCTTCAGCTGAGGGGGCATCAGGGCAGGTGCCATGTGACTTTGATTCATACTGTACCATCAAAACTACAATATCCTAATTTATCAAAATATCACTCCAGGAATTTCTCGTTGGGTTCTGGTAGAACGAGTTCAATATCCTAATTTATCAAAATATCACTTCAGGAATGTCTCGTTGGGTTCTGGTAGAACGATCGTAGGGTTAAAGTTTTGAACAATAAATGTCAAATACACCTTATTTAGAACTCGGCCTTCCCTACCAACAGACTAAGTCACGAGACGGTTACATGTGAAGTGGAACTATGTCGTTTAACTCCTCCTGGCTTTGTCATTGTTGGTTCTAAAACCGGTTCCACAGCTACTGTGTCTGTCTTCATGTTCACACAGGTTGAGTCACATTGTTTCTGTGTGTTTTAGCTCTTGGAGCCGCTGCACAGTGAACTGTCCACCAGCACTGACAGCCTATCAGACAACAAGGTGAGTCAGTCAGACATGTGTGTCTGACACACCCTGTCACTCTTCAGGTTTCAGTCGACACGACAACGATGGAGAGTGAAAAAGAAGTTTAACTGACTGGGTCCAAAAGTCCAGTGTATATAAAGTCCAGTATATATACATATATATATATATATATATATATATATATGTGACATATTCTGGGCCTTAAAAGGACTTTGAATTGTTATGAACATAACAATATGTATTTAAATTAAGGGAAACCTTTGACCTTCATGTGAACACAAACAACTGAATAATGGAAATAATTATCTTTTCACTTGTTCACGTCAACATAAAAAAGATAATGTCACACGACACTTTAAATTAGAAGGACATAAAAGTGACACGTCGTGCTGACGGTGTCTTAAATCAGGATCTAAAAATGGTTCATAACACTTCCTGTTTGGAACATGCATGTGATTGGATGTTTGCACATGTCATTTGATGACCTGGACCTGGTCCAAACTACGAGTCAGAATTTCTTTTTTTTTGATCCTGTGACCTTTTTGAGTTCAGATTGTGACTTGATCATGGAGAGAAAAATAAAATGTCAAATGTTTAAACTTCTTAAACCAATTTCATCCTTCTGCTAAAACTCCATTTAAAGGATTAATAACTGGAATCCCTCGGTAACTTGAACATTGTAACTTCTGCTGTTCCATGACTGGACTTGCCCTAAAATAACTCTCTTTGTTTTTTATTCTGACTTTCTTTCCTTATAGAAAGATGAAACCTGTGTTTGATTATGTCGTTGATTGTGTCGTTGTTTTCTCCTCTTCCTGCAGGACAAGGGCGGTCTATTCAGTGGACTCCTGAGAAAGACCCCCAAAGCACCTGCAGAGGTACGGTCTCACGAACCTGTGTGAAATGTATGTGAGGGAGACTGGTCTACAGCGAACAGACGAAGAGTCTCAGCCTCAGAGAGATAAACTCACTCGTGTGTGATTTTTTTTTTCTCTGGTACTGACTCAAAAAGAACTCTTCGTCCTGTGGTGAAACGAGTTTTTCACACACACTTTAATAATTCCTCTAAGAGGTGTTTGTCCTGAGGACCGTGATTTTTTTTTTCTTTGCCTGCGGTTTTGCGAACGATGAGAAATTCCATAAATATTCCATATAAATTGTAGGGAATATGTTCAAAAGTTCACGTTTGTCCTTCTGTTTCAGGAGAATCTGTCGGCCAGCAGCGACAGTCTGTCGGAGGCTGGGAACGCATCGGTCAGTGAGGTCACAAATACTACATGAGATCATACAATATGTGGCTACATTTTGTCACCAGGGAGTGGAGTAATTTTCAAAAATTGTTCCAGGAGAAGGGAGGTGCGTTCAGTGGAATGTTTAAGAAGTCGCCCAGACTTGCAGACGTTCCTTCCACCGAGAAGGTAAAACACAACTGCGCAGTTCATCCCCAAGAAAAACAGACTGATAAAAATAATACTAATACTAATACTAATACTACATATTTATTTTAGGAAAAGCTAATGGCAGACAGCGAGCTGTCAGGCAGCACAGAAGGTCTGTCTGAAAACACCACCAAGGTATGAGTTTTACTGTGAAATAGACTTAAAATGACTTAATAATAATTTTTTTCTCTCGAGTTTTACTGTGAAATAGACTTAAAATTAATAATTTAGACTTAATAATAATTTTTTTTTCTTAAATAAATACAAAATGCCTACATAACATTTTCTAATTCTAGGAAAAAGGAGGAATATTCAGTGGAATCTTCAAAAAGACGCCCAAACCCAGTGAAGCTGCTCAGTCTGAGGAGGCAGGTGTTAATGTTTGAATACACTGAAATAAACGTATATATATATATTATATAATAAGGTCCAACTTCTAAAAAAAAAAAAAACAACTAAAAAAAGTGATGATTCTTAAGTGATTCAAAATAAAAATTAAACTTTATACTGAAATATTTACTACACAATCGCAGTAAATGGGGGATAATAACTTTGGTGCAATTAGAATTACCACCAGCAGAGGGCAACACATGATACAATTAGTAGTAATACATAGTATTGTATAAACTGTAAAGAATATAGAAAATTAACTTTTATTTATTTTTTATTTCTAAGGATGACGATCCTGACAAGGAGCTTGTAGCCAGCAGTGAAAATGTATCTGAAAACAAACAGGTCAGTGACACCTTTTTATAAAACTTACTGAATTTTTATCAGACAACTTAATATATATATATAAATATATATTTTTTTTTTAGGAAAAAAGTTCAGGACTGTTCAGCGGGCTCCTGAAAAAAACTCCTAAAACAACAGGAGAAAAGACGGAGTCAGCGGTGAGTACCTGATCACAGTTCTATTTCTGTCACCTTTACAATTGTTTTTCAATGATTTTTTTTCTACTTTTGATTTCAGGATGAGCTGTCAGAGAGCAGTGAGGATCTGTCAGAGAACACAACCACCAAGGTGGGAACTCTAACTATATATTTGTCAGATAACTTAGAAATATCCTTCTTGGATTAGATTATTGTTACAGATTATAGAAACACTCCTCTGTATTGATTTTATAATTTTATTCTTTAATAATTCTTTTTTTTTTATTTTAGGAGAAAAACATTTTCAGCAACATGTTTAAGAAGCAACAGAAACCAGCAGAGGGCGTCACGGAGAAGGTAATTCAGCTAATCTGAGTTAGCTACATCACCGTCTGACTGCTGAGAAGTTTTGACTGATTCCTGGTTTCCTTTTTCAGGAGCAGGACAGGAAGAGTGGAGATGAACTGTCTGTCAGCTGTGAGAATCTGACCGAGGCCTCCGTCCAGAAGGTTGTTGTTCTCTGCTCTTCATCCTTTCTTTTTGTTTCCCATCATCACCCGTTTTGATGTCATTAATAAAGGAAAACAAACGATGCTTGTGTTTCAGGAGAAGAAAGGCGGCTTCGCTGGATTATTTAAAAGGTCAGCCAGCATCGACAACCTGTTTGATGAGGTCAGTGTGTTTGTTAAAAAGATTTGTGTTTCCTGATCTGTGACCACTTCACTGACTGTCTGTGAATCTGTGTTTTTGCTCCTTAGGAGAAAGGTGGGCTCTTCAGTGGACTTAAGAAGAAACCACCAAAGACGTCTGGAGATGATTCTGAGGTGAAGACACGACCAGTGCCACGCTGACCTTCTGACCTTCTCACCGTTCCTGTTCATGGAAGGATAATTTTAATTATTGATTTTTTGTCCAGGACAAAGAAGAACAGAAGGAACTGTCGGCCAGTAACGACAGTCTGTCCGAAAACACTAAGGTAACAGGACGAGGAATAAATATTTAAACTTTCCAATAGCAGCACAAGTGAAGACAAGTCGATTTTTAAAAATTTAATATTTAAGGTTTTGCTGTTATTTAATGTTTTGTTGTGTCCCTGTTTATTACTTTTAGGAGAAAAGTATTTTTAGTGGGATGTTCAAGAAAACTTCCAAAACAGCAGAGGGCGCCACAGACGAGGTGCAGTAAAAACCTTTTATATAAACATTAAAAGTTCATTATGTTACGTTGTTTTATTTTACTTTACCTTTTTGCTGTCGGCCAGGATAAGAAATTGTCTGCCAGCTGTGAAAATCTCTTGGAATCAAAGGTAAAAATACTGTCCTTGAATCACAGCGGTCTCACAGTGATTCTGTCTTTGACCTTTTTGATTTTCTTGTTGTGTTTTTATCAACTTTTTGAACTTTGTTCAGGAGAAGAGTGGAGGAATCTCTGGGATCTTCAAGAAGTCTCCTAAACCCTCTCCCCGCTCTCTGGTCTCCAAGGTGAACTGACTTGTTGATGGTTTCTTCTAAGAATTAGTTTGACATTTGAGGTTTTTATCTTGGTTTTAAAATGTTTTACTTTTTTTCCTCCCAGGATCCACTCAATGAGTTGAAGAATTCTCAAGACTCAGACGATCTTTCAGACACAGAGGTGAGGGGTCATCAGCTAAGGAAGCTAACAGATAAAAGGCTAGCTGAGATATATAATTTTCTAAAAATAAATATTGTGTTGTTTTGGTCAGAATGGCTCAAGGACATGTCTTTTTTTTTACTTTTACATTCACTAAGTTTGTCCTTCAATCACTTCCTTTTTAACCAAATGTATTATTTATGATTTAAAAAGTCGACACAGGCCGAACTGTCTGCCAGCAAAGAGAACCTGTCTGAGGTGACGAACAAAAAGGTGACAAAATGACTCTCATACAGTTTTTAATATATATTTTAACCACCGAAAAACTAACGCAGATTTCCTGTTTTGTCAGGAGTCGAAAGGAGGATTTGCAGGGATGTTCAGGAGAACGCCCAAAATAGTGGAACCACAGGTCAGCGTGAACATGTGTAAATGTGTTTATTGTTTTATTTACAGGTTTTATAAGGAGTCTAACATTTATATTAATGATGAGTCAGTTTTAAAATCCAACAGTGAAAAGTAAAAATGTTTCTTCTTCACACGACAGGAAAGTGTTGACCTGGAGACACCGGAGGGAGGTGGACTGAGACGCAGGAGGACAATCAAGAAGAAGAGAAGAGTGCGTCGGTGGTCACTTTATAAAAAAGAAAACATAAAACATTTTTGACAATATATTTACTGACGTTAATTTCTGCTTTAACGATTTTCAGGTCGTGTCTTTCCGAATCAAGAAAACTTTGCCCAAACTACCCAAGAGTTCTCAGGTTTGTATTGGTTTCTTGTCAGCTTTTGCTGTTCTGTTTTTTCAGTGTCTCCAATATAATCACATCTGCCCATGTGGTCGACCACGCAGGCTTCAGAGAAGATGCCTGTGATTGGAGAGACGGTGGAGATGCAGGAGATGAGCACAAATCAGGTTGGTCGTCACATTCTCACTTCATCATTGGCATCACGGTACATTATAAATATATATTTAAGTATTTCCTACTGTCACTTCATCCTAATTCATTTGCAGTCTCTCTATTATTATATTATAGATAATATATATATATTATATTATATTATTTTTAACAATATCTCTATTGTGATTTGTGATTTTGTTCTTAAGGATAACACATTTGAGACGCAGCCCGTGGAGATGGCAGCTTACCCCACAGAGGGCAGCAGTCAGGCTAACGAGGTGTGTGATCTGTGTCGATCTTTTCATCGGACGCAGAACACGTTTAAAAATCGTCTTCACCGTCGGTGGTCCCGTCACTAACCAGTGTTTTTGTTTGCAGGAAGAAGATGAGCTGATGGACTGGTGGAACACAGTCAAAGGTGAGTTTGACAATAATAATATGAATAAATATCATCAATCACTGCAGCCATAGGAGGAGACTTTATACTGATGTCTGCTCAGAGACCAAAGGCAGCAGCAGCAAAAAATGTCCAGTTATCCATCTGTGTTTCTGATGCTAATACAGTTTTTCTCTGCTGATAATTTCCAGGTTGGAAAGAATGGAATGAATCCTCAAATTTCCAAGCGGAGGATGAGGATATGTAAGAAAGAATTTGTCTTTTTTTAAAAAATTAAATAATGATAATGCAATCTGAGCAATCAAAACTTTTTCTTTATATTTTTACATATAAATAATTCCATCATTTAAATGGAATAAGAACAGGAGAGAAACACAGACATCTACTCGCTGTTGTTTGTCTTTCTGTTCCTGCAGGATTCTGAAAACTTTTGAGGAATTTTTCTCTAAAATATATTATAAAAAAAAACAAAGAAGAGCTAAACTTTCCTCACAAGTACTTAAAAACAGACAAAGTGTTTTAATATTTAAAAAAAAATAACCTCCACCGTCTTGTCCTCTTCCTCCAGGGCGATGGAACAGGCTGCCGATCGTGTCTACATGGCCGCTCGCCTCTTTGTCCGACTGTTCAACCAGCGGGGGGCGTCCTTGCAGCACCGCATCCTGGAGCTTCTGGCACTGGCGGATGCAGCCGATGAGTTCCACAAGAAAACAGTGAAAGCTGCCGTGGGCGGAGGCGTGGCCAGTGTGGCGGGCAGCGTGGCGACCATCACAGGGCTCATCCTGGCGCCGTTCACCTTCGGCGCCTCCATTATCGTCACGGCCGTGGGCATCGGCGTGGCCACGGCGGGCAGCATCACCTCGGCAACGGCCAACATCACCGACACGGTTCACTCCAACATGGACCGGAAGAAGGTGGAGAAACTGATCCAGGACTACCAGGAGGAGATCAAAGACATCAGAGAGTGCATGGAGTTCGTTCAGGTGAGGAGAACATGAGTTTCCTGTGTTTGAGAAGTCGGGAACGGAGATGCACAAGATGGTCGCTATAAAAAAGAGGGAGAGAGAGAGAGAGAGAAGGTCTGAGAAAAGATGATGTTGTTCTGGTTGGATTTTTCAAGTTCAATAAGAAAAATAGTTTTGTGAATTTGACCATTTAAATAAAATTGATTAAAAACTAATAATAATAATAATAAATGAAGGAATGACTTCTCTGCCACCAAGCCTGACTGTCCAGTTGCCCTCACGCCGTCTTTGAACGCCTACAGTGAATTTCAAAGTTGTCCAGCAGCTCTTTGTCTGTCTGTTGTCCTGTCTCTGTCTGTCTGTTGTCCTGTCTCTGTCTGTCTGTTGTCCTGTCTCTGTCTGTCTGTTGTCCGGTCTCTGTCCTCCGCCTCCAGCTCTGTCTCTGCAGCCGTTCAATCTTTTAACGGTGATGTTGGCCGGTGGCTCTAATGAGTCTGATGTCTGTTGATCATAAGTCGGTTGTTAAAAGTTAGAAAATATTAAAAATACTAAAATACTAATCTAAGTACAACTTAAACAAAATCATGAGTTTCACGAGTCTGGAGACTTCTTTAAAAAATAATAATAAAATAAAGGAACACTGTTAGAGAGGCCGTTACGCCCAAGCAGAAGTCTAGCAGAGACGCGCTGCCCTTCATTACAACAGAGGCGGAAGTGACGATTCTTCTCCTGCCACTATTTCTGGAATTCGACCAACACTGAGTCGGAATGAGGGACTAAAAGAACCAGAGGTATGTGACTGTCTGTACCAGCACCAGGTTTTTATCCTTATCTCACCTTCACCCAGTTAAACTCAGTGTTTTTTTCGTCCTTTGATAACACGGTCATGTCACTTTATTCCTGCTTTGGCGCTTAGTTTGTGCTGCATTAACTAACAACAAACGTCGTTTCACGTAGTAATTCCTTTTTCTCTTTTCTTTTTCTTCTTTCTGTGGCAGTATTTCACCTCAGTCTTTGTCTCTTTGTCTCTTTGTAGGAAGGAATGGACACCCTGGATGAATGGGACTTTGAGAAATACACTCAGAGCGCAGCCAAAAAGGCCATGAACCACAACATAAAACACGTGGTGAAGGAGGGCGGTCGGGCTGGGAAAGCCCTGATGATCAACACAGACAAACTCATCAGCACCGTTCAGATTCTGAGTGTTGCAGGTGGAGCTGCCAAAGCTGCTAAAGCCATCAGCGTCACCACAGGAGTGATGTCGGCGCTCTTCCTCGCCCTGGATGTTTTCTTCCTCGCCAGAGACTCACATGAGCTCCGCAAAGGTGCCAAAACCAAATTTGCCTCCAAGATCAGAGACGTTTGTAAACCCCTTCAAGACGGACTCCTGGAGCTGAACAAGGTGAAGACTCAGCTGCAGAAAACCATGGACGGCATCGAGGTGGAGGAATACGAGCAGATCGAGGAGGTGGAGGTTGAAGTGGAAGATGAGTTGGAGTCGGATCCAAAGAAGCTGGCAGAGTTGGAGCAGGAGATTGACCTGTTGGAGGAAAAACTGGACAAGAAGCTTGAAGAGGAGGAGCAAAAGAAAAAAGAGCAGGAGGAGATGAGTATAAAACTTAAAAGAGGGGAAAAAGAGGAGAAGAGCATGAAGGAAAAAGAGAATGAAGACCAAAAGGGTGACTTAGAGGAGGAGGAGGAGGAGGAGGAGAGAGACACAAATAACGATGAAAAGCAAGAAGGAAAGAGAGAAAGCAAGATGGAAAAAAGTAAAAAAGAAAACAAACCTGAGCCGAAGGGAAAGGAGAAGGATGAGGAAACACCCAGAAATACTGAAGAGGAACAAAAGGTCGAGACGGAGAACAGAAGCACAGCCGCAGTGACAGAAAAAGACAAAAATGAAAGTGTGAACGAAAGAAAGGAAAACAGGAGTAAAAAAGGAGATTTGATGCCAGAGGAGTGGAGAAAAAGGAGTTTATTGGCTGAGGGAGACAGAAGTCAAGAGCCTGAGAGGACGATCACGCCTGAATGGAAATCAGTGACTGAGGAGGAGGACAGAAGGAGCATGAGGAGCCACGGCAGCAGGAGTGACAGGGAGAGAGAACAGAAAACAAGGGAAAGCCACAAGGAGAGAGGAGGCAAGGATAGGACAGAGACACAGAGGAGGACAGAGGAGGAGCAAAGTGTCAAAGATTGGAAGGCTGAGGGTAAAAACAGCAAAAGAGAGAGAAGAGGAAGCAGAGAAGGAGGAGAGTCGAGGAGAGAGATGGAGAGGAAGGAGTCACGACGAAGTCAGGAAGCAGAGGTGACGAGGAGGGAAAGGAGCACAGAGTCTCAGAGGAGTCACCACAGGAGAGAGCATCAGGACAAGCCAGGGAGTACGGTGGACAGCATGAGGAGGTTTGAGACAGCAGAAGGTAAAGAGGGAGAGGAAGAGGAGAAGGAGAGGAGGAGGAAAAGGAGAGAGGAGAGAGAGAGTCAGAGGAGAGATTATGAACACAGTCGGAGAGGCTCCAGGTCCAGTGCGAGGATGACGGAGGACGGACTTTACATTTAGTTCTCCATCATCATCATCATGAACTTCATGTTCACCGTTACAGATGCTCAACCACAGACCGTGGATAAGAAATGGACGTCGATCTCTGGTTCAATAAGTGAAGCCCTGGAAGAAGAGAGAAGAAATCCAAACAAAACTCTGTGTAAAGACAGATCCCTGAGGATCAACATAAGGCTCCGCTCCACTCTGTCTTCATTTCATTATGTTTAGGTCTTCTTGTATTTCCTGCAGTGGCTCAAAGGAACATTTGATTGTTGTTGAGTGGCTCAAAGGAACATTTGATTGTTGCAATAACAGAGAAAACAGTTAAAGTTAAACATTAGCTTTAAAAAAAACCCTGAGACGATGTAGAACTCACTCTGACTTTTGACATAGTCTCTCTGTCTTTTCAAAATGTATTAATGACGCGGCAGACAATTAAGTGTTATTTAATAAGCAAATATGTTACAAAAAATAGCTAACATTTACCTGCAGGGTATGGAAAAACGTATTTTAATATAAAAGCTATAAAAAAACGTGCTAAAAAGTCGACTTTATACAACAGAGCAATAATAGAAGGTCAAACAGTGATTAAAAAAACACTTAAATATGTTGCACAGTAGCAAAACTATATATTTGTATCTCATTTCTTTTGTTGTTGTTAGTGCGATGTGTCGTGATGCCTCCGTACCTTTAGCTGGTGTTTTCTGGGTAAACTTTGGCTACAAAATATTTAGACTTTTTACATCTCTTCTCTCGTTGACCAGTGTTTTTGAATTAGCAGTAAACAGAAAAACCTGTTGTACTCAAGGTACAAACAGATGTCTACATGAATAAATATTACTGGTCAGTATGATAAAGTACTGCTGTTACCTCCTCTGGTCTCTGACCAGTCTCTTTAAACTAACTGTTACCTAAACAGTGCACTTTAACCCCAGCGTGACCTCTTTTATTTTTATATTTCTTTGTTTCTCGTTCGTGGTATTCATCAGTCGAGACACTGGATATTTCTGTTACACTACGCAGTGATGAACTGAAGCGCTTCTCCTTTTACACTACGATGTTTCACATCTTCTCTGGACTTTTGGTGGAGAAACCTTCTCCTGGTGCTGGGTCTGTCATTGTATGAATAAATACCAGGAGATGAAATCAGAATGTTGTCACCGTTCTTCATTTACACTTCAATGACTGTAACAATACAGTTGGACTGATGTTGTACTGATGCAGTACTGATGTTGTACTGATGCAGTACTGATGTGTGTGTTTCACTTTGAATGAGTCAGGAGTGGCAGAGAAGTACCTGAGTGGTGTACATGGATATGGTTAGGGAGGACAGACGACGGTGACAGATTTGTTCAGGAGTGGGAAACCTCAGGGACCAGCTTATGTCTGGTGGGAACTAGGGTGCAGCATGATCTGTCTGACACCGGGGGGCGCAACTGGTCACACAATGATGTAAGTTTTTACTTTGGTCTGGTTTGGTTGTTGAAATCTTACTTTTTCCTGGGATAGTGAAGGCATCCCTGGCTTGACAGCAGCCAATAGGAGTTGGGTTTGTGCTGGTCACTTCTGTGTGTTGCTAGCAGTTTCCTTGTAACCAAGATCAGTGAAGTGAATCAAGGTGTGTAGTTAAAACTGTCTGTCTTCTCTGTCCTTGTCTCGTTGTCTCCTGCAGGACGGTATGGACACCCTGGATGAATGGGACTTTGAGAAGTATTCTCAGAGCGCAGCCAAAAACGCTTTGAACCAGAACATAAAACACGTGGTGAAGGAGGGCGGTCGTGCTGGGAAAGCCCTGATGATCAACACTGATCAGCTCATCAGCACCGTTCAGGTTCTGGGCGCCGCAGGTGGAGCTGCCAAAGCTGCCCAGGCCATCAGCGTCACCACAGGAGTGATGTCGGCGCTCTTCCTCGCCCTGGATGTTTTCTTCCTTGCCAAAGACTCACACGAGCTCCGCAAAGGTGCCAAAACCAAATTTGCCTCCAAGATCAGAGACGTTTGTAAACCCCTTCAAGACGGACTCCTGGAGCTGAACAAGGTGAAGACTCAGCTGCAGAAAACCATGGACGGCATCGAGGTGGAGGAATACGAGCAGATCGAGGAGGTGGAGGTTGAAGTGGAAGATGAGTTGGAGTCGGATCCAAAGAAGCTGGCAGAGTTGGAGCAGGAGCTGGACTTCCTGGAGGAGAAGCTGGATAAAAAACTTGAAGACGAGAGGAGAAAAAAGAAGGAGCAGGAGGAGCAAAGTCTGAAGAATAAGAAGGAGAAAACAGAGGAGAAATGCATGAAGGAGAAAGGAGATCCAGACAAAGAGAGCTCCAAGGAGAAGAAGAAGGAAAAGAAAGAAAGCAAGATGGAAAAGGGTGAAAAGGTGAACACATCTGAGTCCAAGGAAAGGGAGGAGGAAAATGAAAAAACAGCCAAAGATACAAAAGAAGAAAGTCAGAAAGGAACCAAGAAAGAGAAGGAGACGGAGAACAGGATCACAGCTGTGAAGGAACAACTGGAGAGCAGAAAGGACAAGGAAAAAGAAGAGCCGACTGAGAACAAGAAGACAGAGGAGAAACTAAAGGTGGAGGTTCAGAGTAAAAGGCCTGATTTAAAACCAGAGGATTCAGAAAGAGTCAGAGCTGAGAAAGGAAATCAGAGGAGGAGGGAGGAGGAGAGAGGAGTCAGGTCTGAAGGGAAAAGTGTAAATCAAAAGGAAGAGGAGGAGAGTGAGAGCGTCAGGAGGCACAGCAGCAGAAGTGACAGAGAGAGAAATGGAAACGACGTGGAGAGAGCTAGAAAGACGAGTGACAGGACAGAGAACTGGAGGCGGACAGAGGAGGAGCGAGGAGTCAGAGACTGGAGATCTGAGATGACAAAGAGTCAAGATGAACGGAGAGAACGGAGAGAGAGTAAAATGGAGGAGGAAAGGAAGGAGTCACCACAAACTCATCAAATCTCGATGACGAGGAGGGAGCGAGATCCCAGGAGGAGCAGGGACGACGTTGATTATCAGAGGAGTCACCGCAGCAGAGAGCAGGAGGAGAAACGAGACAGTCGGGTGGACAAAGTCAGGAGGGAACCCGAGAGAACAGGAGGTGACGAAGTGGAGGAGGAGAGGAGGAGAAAGAAAGAGTATAGGGAGGCTCCGAGGAAAGACGCAGATGGAGAGCAGGAGCGCAGCAGGAGAGGATCTCGATCCAGTGCTCGGATGATGGAGGATGGACTTTACATTTAGGTTCAAAGATAATCACTTCTCACAGAGGTTGACCCAGAAGATGGCTGTTCTCTTTTTTTTTGTGCAATACATTTTTGTTTAATACTGTTTGTGTGTGTGTGTCTGTGTGTTCAATATATATATGTATAATCCAGGTGAACAGTTCACGGTGGGACTATTTCGTGTCCGTATTTCTTCGTCTCATAAACCACTTAAGTTAAAATCAGGAGGAAAAGAAAAACAGTAGGAAATTGATTTGTGTATCAGGCACTACAAAATACTGTGAGTGAATAATACTGAGCTCAGTGGACTTTTTTCATGTTCTTCTTAAACTTGTTGTTGATGTTTTTTATATTTTCCTTTGTATGTATTTTTAATTAATCAATTAATTAATTAAGGGGGAAACGTCTTTTTCTGCTGGTGCTGGTTTATATTTAAACAAATAAAGTACAAGTGAAGCATTAGCATGTCCAGTGTTTCAGTGGATTATTGTGATACAAACCTGGGTAAGGTCACGTTTTCTACTCTTCTACCTCAACGTTTGACAATTATTCTTGGAATAAAAATGTTTAAAAATGTAAATAATATTTTATATGTTTGTTACACAGCTCAGAGAAATACAAGATTCCAGAAGTGGTCTAAGTCTTGGCACGAAGTCGCCACTGGAGGGAGACAGAGCGCCAAGGCCTTTTTTTTCTTCTTTTACTGAAGGAAATGAAACGGACCAAGAGTTAATAAGGAATGAATCAAAACATGTGTCTTCTTCATCGTCAGACCTTCATCATCATCATCTTCTTCTTTTTCTTCTTCTCCTCCAGATACTTCTGTTCCTGGATCTCGACTCAGAACAAGACAAGATCCAACGTCTCATCAGTGATTCCTGGACTCAGGTACGGTTAAAAACTCATCATTTCTGTCCCTGGTGTTTGTGTTTTCATGATAATATTTTACGTTTTGTCTGTTGTGGAACCAAACAGACCACAGGCTGTGAAAAGACCTCATGTTTTTATAACAAAAAAAGGTGGTGTTTCTAGGCACACAAAAAAAACAACCCCAATGTGGAGCAAACACCTTCTGCACTCCTGACACCCCAAAAGTATTATTCTATTTGATTTTGGCTGTGCTGCAGTAGAATCAGGTGAAGGTGTTTCCCATCTCCACTTCCGTCCAGGAACAGGGGGAAATAGAACAATGATTCCAAAAACGATGACTGGAAACGATGACCTACTGAGATATCTTTTTCTCCTGTTGTTGATCATGTTTCATTCTGCTGTGGAGCTGTTGGATAAAAACTACAGGAAACCTGATCCGTTTTGGTCCAGGGAGAAAGTTTTGAGACAAGCGTGTGTGACAAACACACACGCTGGTACATAACCCCCCCACACCCTAACAAACATAACAAAAAAGAACCAGTTTGACCAGGTATTTATTATGCAAACTCATCTTTAGACACTTGAAGATGAAGATAACAAAATATGATGCAAATGTGTGTTTTATATATAAATATATATATTTATGGCAGATGCTGTGAAAAAAACACACAAATAAGTGAAATCATTTTTTTTGTATATTTAAACATATAATGACATATTAGTGCCACATGTTACCACGCCCTAACAGCTATTGCCCCGCCCCCTTGACGTCTCCCCCTCTGTTCAGACTTGCTGCGTCAACACTTCTTCGGGAGACGAACATGTTTGTTGTGGACTGTAAGCTGATAGGCCAGGCTTTTATTCCGTTTGATATTCCTGATTCCTGTGCAGTCGTCGGAGTCATCACTGAAACTCATGACAGATGACTCAGACAAAGACACACAGCTGCAGGGCAGGTGCAGTGAACTCACCCTGGACCACGCCCCCTACACGGTGTCTACACACACACACACACACACATTTGTTTTTGGTTTGTGAGCCCTGTATTCCTAAAATCATCAACCAAACCTTCACCATAACAAATATATGCCTAATCCTAATCTGTACCTTAACTCTGAATCTTCAACCCCAGAATCCTGTCCCACCTGGTGACACACCAGTTCAGTTGTTGGGACTGAATTAGAACATTTTCTGTCAAAGTGAACCTTCGTCAAACTGTATACATTACAGATGTACACAGTTTGAGTAAAGTATGAGTAAAGTATTAGTAAAGTATTAGTAAAGTAAACACTCAGTGATGACGACCTTATTTCCATCTAATTACCAAAATCCACTCTAACTTCCACGTTAACCATGACGACCTGCTCTTTTGTCCCCTCAAGTCAGTGAAAAAAAACAAAAACTCTCACGCACGCACACCCTCCCCACACACACACACGCACACACACTCCTCTACCTGCAGCATCAGTGCTGACGTTTGCTTCTTTAAACCTCCACAGGAATCAGACGTCGTCAGAAGCTGAAACTGCAGCGCAGCAAACTTTCAAAAACCTTTTTTCACAAACCTTTGGAGCGTGGTGCGGCTCAGGTACGACTCTGAAAACCTCTTTTTACACTTCATACAATTTCACTTTTATAATTGAAAAAAAAAACTGTTGATGTACAGAATTTTTTTACATGACTTTGAATTTTATTATTTAATTAAACACTTAATTAAACACACAGAATTTTTTTACATGACTTTGAATTGTATTATTTAATTAAACACTAATTGACGACTCTGGACTTTCTCATGAACTCAAACCTCCCATGTTTTTTATTTTGGCATTTGATCAAATCAATAATTCTTTACTTGTTTGTTGCGTCAGTAGCCATATGGTGTCAGTAGTTGGTGAAAAGTTAAAGTAGAAGTATTAAAAATCTGGAACTTTGTTGAAAAATGTCTTTGTTTTTGTTGTCAGAATTACATTGTATGAATTTAATGTTTTACTTTTGTGATGTTTTTGTCAGAAATGGAAGCAGGGTTGATACGACCGGCTGCTGCTGCCGCCCTGGTACTTTTTGCAGCGTCAGTGGTCGGAGCAGCACAGGTTGGTTTACTTTCAGCTTACAGTAAAGAGAGTCTCTTCATCTGACCTCAGGGGACAAACAGAGAACGTCACCACGTCCACACCATTTTATCAGGACGGCCAACAGTGTCTGTATAAAAATGACTGGAGGCCAAGTGTGACATTTAGGACTGGAACATAGTTGTATCATTTTGTGCTGCCAAATTTGTTAACACGACGGTCCGATCACCGCTCAGCTCTCTGTGTTTTTGCTATATGCTATATAACTTTGCTAATTGACTGCTTTTGAGCTATCTTTTAGCTTTTTTTTGGCTAACTCTAAGCAACATTTAGCATGAATATCTTTTAGCTAATTATGCTTTTATTAATTTAATGTTTACAACAGTTATTTATTCAGAGCTGTGTTCATCAGTGGTTGACGTAGAAACTAACGTTAACATGGTTTTTCATCATTTGTTAATGTGTGTGTGTCAGGTGAACATCACTCGTGATATGTGTGGAGTCAGTAAACTGTGTTTGGAGACACCTGAGGACTGTGACCCCGCTGGAGAGACAGACTGTCTCTTTGCGGCTCTGTTGACCCGGACGCCACCGGCTCCCAACGGAACCGACCTGTCGCTCCAACTCAGAGGAAATTCCCTGGGATACATCGGACTGGGAATCACGAACGACAACGCAACTGAGGTAAACCACACAGCACTGGTATTACATTACTGCCCTCTAAATGAAAGCATTGGTATAATGCTCCATACAAACAATAAAATCCCAGCGTGAGACCTGAGAATCAAGTAGAGTCAGATCCATCTCCAATTACAGTAATAACATGAAATAATATTCAACTTTTTGTCAGTAAATAGCCCAAAATGGTTGTTAGATGATTACAAACAAAATAAAAAGAAGAAGAAAACAGACACACAATAGCTTAATGTTAGCACAGATGTAGCCGAAAGCTAGCTAAAAATAACTGAACATTAGCATATAAAAACATAGTTATTTTAAACCGTGAAAAGTTAGACACACCACAATCCAAGAGAATTTTGTGTTGTATCTTAGAAAGAAAGTGAAGTGTGATGTGTTTCTAACGTCACTTCATGAAGCCTTGAGTTTCACAGGGCAGGTCTCATTGCTACTGTCAATAAAGCCTGTGTTGAGAGTGCCTTCATTCAATGTTTGCTGTCGGACAACTCCCTCAGCTGCAGGCCACCGGTCCACATGAGAAATAGACAGGCGACAAGCCAATGTTAACATGAGAGTCAAAATATTCAGTGAGCAAACATCTGGGAGCAGATCAACAACCAACGATGCTTCAGTCAAAAAGACAAACTCTTATTTTCTCCCATTTGTCTTTATCTTTACACACATCTCCGCTCACTTGTAGCCGACCAGCTAAGTCCCACAAATGGTTTCATTATTTCCAAACTTTGCTATTTGTTGTCAATATGAGGAAAAACAGATTCTAACTTTTCATCAAATATTTGTTCCCCCTCAGGGAGTCACCACACTCTTCATCTGTGCTCAGAACTCCTCGGACAACGGGACGTTCATCTTCAGAATCATGCTGAGGAACAACACGGACGCTACGCTGACGCCTTTAGACACAGTGAGGAGGGAAAATGACGTTCAAGCTTCAAAGACCTTAAAAAACACCAAACAAATTGGAGATTAGAAAATGAGATACCTGGCTGAATTTGTGGAATTTGATTTTTCCCCCTGTGGTCTTTAACACTTTTTCTTTTGACAAAATACGAGTTACTGTATTTTTGATGCATACTTGGCTGTTCCTGGTAAACATTTTCAGTTCACTTTAGTTTGAGCCTGGCTCTCATTTCCATCTTAATTAACATCAAAAAGAAAATATGTTTTTGTGGAGCTTGGTCCGTCCTTTGTTTTCTCTTCTAATCATCCTTTGATAATAATACTGTTATTACCATCACAGGTCGTCTAACACCGGACTTCATTATGTTTGCTTTTTAGACCTTGCCAGAAGTGCAGGGTGTGGTGGAAAACAATGTGATCCGGTGTGAATTCAGTATCCCTACGATGAACGACACCAATGGATACACCCTGAGCAACCCTTACACCATACTGTTGGGGGAGGGCAGTGTAGAAGGAGGTGGGTGGAGACACGTGTCGGAGATGTGACCACATTTAGAATACTATATGTTGACCACGTTAGTTCATTATTTTAGTTAGGCGGCGTATGACTAACTTTCCTTTGTGCGTCTGTGTGTCTATTCTTCAGATACGTTCGGCAACTTCAACATCACCCTGAACAGTGGCCCCCTTACCCTGCCTGACCTCTACAACAACGTTGTCAACACAACAACAACTACCACCCCATTTGTCACCAACAGCCCAAATACAACAACTATGGTCAACACAACAACTATGGTCAACACAACAACTATGGTCAACACAACAACTATGGTCTACACAACAACTATGGTCAACACAACAACTACGGTCAACACAACAACTACGGTCAACACAACAACTATGACCAATACAACCACTCCAAACTCAGGAGCCAGCAGTGTCCTCAACTCTAATGGTAAACATTTACTTCCAGAAGTGTTCCAATATGGTTTCTATTTCAGCCCCATCTCATCTTGATGAGTTGATGACTAATTATTTACATTTCAACCACAGTTTGGCACGAGACAGCTAAGACGGCTAAGATAGTGTCTTCCATTTCTGCATAAAAACTAGAAATAAAAGGTTGTCATGATTATTTGTATTCAGACAAAACCAAATATATTGTATTTACTAATTACTTTATTTCTCCCCCCACCAGCTGTGACTGTCCTGCTGACCATCCTCACACTGTCCGTCATGCTGAGAGTCTAAGTCCAGAGGAAAGGCCTGGAGGAATATGAAAATACAGAAATTATATTTTGCACTTGAGCTGTAGTCTGAGTTTTAACTGCACCTAATCAGTTGTTAAATATTCTTTTATTCCCCACCTGCACGACAAAAACAACAGCAACGCGAGTAATGATAATTATCTTTTTTGTTAACTGCTTCTGTTAAGTGCCCTTGGGTCAAAAGATCCACTTTTTTTAAATAATATCTCATAAAATAATTTGGAAATTGTTAAGGTTTTTTCATTAATATTTAAATGAGAATATATCTACATATAATATATATAAAACCGTTATTTCCATTTATTTACATGCACTTTATTTCTCGCTCTCCGATTCAGCCAATCACCAACTGTTGCTAAGCCGAAAACAAGGAGCAACAGGTGAATTACCCAATTAGCACCAATTTCCTCCTTAAAATTTTGCACCAATCCAGAGTTTTTTAAACCGGAAGCACGCGATGTAAACAAAGATGGTGGCCTGCGGTAGTTTTGAACACGGTGCTTTAGTTGCCTAACAAAATAAATAAAATCTGTCATTCTGAGCTCATAAAAACTTGGAGACACTTCACGGGCTTGGACCTCACAAGTCATTTTGAACATAATTCATCATCAGGTAGAGTATGTGATATATATATATATGTTTTTTTAACGATTAAATGTTCATACAAACAACAGCATTGGCTGAACAGTTAAGAATAAACCGGCCTCATTTTTAACACGTTCAATTGATTGTTGTATTGACAGAATGAACCACAGTAAAGTTAATAACCGTATTTAAAATACTGAGATAAAAAGCAAGAAAACCGTTTGATTAATATCTTTGAAACATCTGGGGTGATCACATCGTTTTTATTTGTCCCTGAAGCAATGGTTTCTTTTGGTTTGGGTCTGTGTATTAAAATGAAGAGGAAACTTCATATTTCGTTCTAAAAGCTATTTTTTATATTTTTTATCATTGTACTGTTGTTGTAATCTTTGAGTTAAGTTATGTAGTTGGTGTTTTTGGGGCAAAAGGGCAATGAAAGTGACCCGTGGAGTTCACTGGAGCCTTGAGGCCTTTTTCCTGTCAATATAAATATACACTTATTCTAATTGCGTCATTAAAATCTCTACAGCCGCTCCTTGTGCTCTTCTCTTTTGTGTCGGCTGAACACATTTGTTGAAGGTTTTAAATGTTGTGATTTTATATATATGTATATATATGTATATATATTTCTAGATGGAAATGTTTGATGTAAAAATAAGATACAGCAGGTGGCAGTAGAGCGACTCAAATGATGAGCTGGGGTGTTAGCAATAGTACTGTAGCTGATAATCACAACTCGGAGTGCCATAACCAAGATTTACAATAGACAAGATGGCAACTGTGATGGGAATTATCCAGGGAGTACAATAAACATTTCATGGATGTATAAGAAAGACCCAGCTTGTGAGTAATAATTGAATTATAATCCTTTAATTTTAGGACATGAGGCGTCTTGAATGTCTCGGCCTCCACATGAAGAACATTTAATA